CCCCCTCACATTTATCCTAACATACTGAGTCCACATGACTGGTCTGTTCAAGGAACTGGAATTGCTGTGTGAGAAGGGAGAACGCATACTGCATTTGGCAAGTGTATGTCGAAGGATGGAAACAGAACGAGAGAAAGTCCTGCCTTTTGTCACTAGTCCACACACTTCCACTATTTTAAGCCAAGTAGAGCAAGATCATTTGGAAACGGCTTATAAGGAAGTGCCCAAAGAACCGCTGGCAAAGGTTGATTATTTATTATCTTGTTTGATCAGTAGAAGGTTTTTCTGTGCATTATAGAAATTTTAATTTTTCATTATTATAAGAAGGCATTCAACTGTGGTCCCATAGAGCAAAAGGTAAACAATTGTTAAATCTGTAATTACAAAAATTTTCATGTTTATTGAAGAAAGCAGTCTTCTGGGATTTGGCACCGTGTATATGTGGTGTTAACACCACATATACACGGTGCCAAATCCCAGAAGACTGCTTTCTTCAATAAACATGAAAATTTTTGTAATTACAGATTTAACAATTGTTTACCTTTTGCTCTATGGGACCACAGTTGAATGCCTTCTTATAATAATGAAAAATTAAAATTTCTATAATGCACAGAAAAACCTTCTACTGATCAAACAAGATAATAAATAATCAACCTTTGCCAGCGGTTCTTTGGGCACTTCCTTATAAGCCGTTTCCAAATGATCTTGCTCTACTTGGCTTAAAATAGTGGAAGTGTGTGGACTAGTGACAAAAGGCAGGACTTTCTCTCGTTCTGTTTCCATCCTTCGACATACACTTGCCAAATGCAGAATGCGTTCTCCCTTCTCACACAGCAATTCCAGTTCCTTGAACAGACCAGTCATGTGGACTCAGTATGTTAGGATAAATGTGAGGGGGAGGAGGGGAGAAGGGAGAAAGAGAGGAATATAATGGTGCTGCTGCTGATGATGATGACAGTGATGTTGATGATCTGATTCTTATTATGGTATGACTGTATTAAACTGGATTTTCATGAGCCATTGTTACAGAATAACAGTGCATATATTGTACCTTCATGCTGCAGTTGGCATGAAAGCTCAGTCATTTTGTATTACAGTATTTACAGCAAAGATATTCTTCCTCATTTATTCCAGGTACATATTATAGTCATACAAACAAAACAAACTCCGTGATTTTAGTCCGCAAGCAAACTATACCAACCAAGCAACCACTGCTTGTTGAAGTTAGTGCCAACTTTTATGGATAGAGGGTGTTGCGTGGTCAGCGCAACGAATCCCCACGACCGTTGATTTCGGTTTTCTAAACCGGAGCCGCTATTTCCTTGAAATAGCTTCTCAATTATCATCACAAGGCTGAGTGGACCCCGTATTGTAGTCATAGTTATTGTAATATAATGTCAATTTTATGCGGTTGATACTTTATACATTCTTATCATGGAGTGCATAATGTGGAAGTCATGCACACTTGACCGCACTGGCATGTTTCACCTCTGAAATTACTCAACAGATTTCAGTCATATTTACTGTTGTGAGTGTATTCTAAATATTTTCATAAAAATGTAATCTTTGCATCGGTCAAATAAAACCTTCAATTTAAATAGAACTGAAGCAGAATGTATCATTTTTCCATAAAAATGGCTCATTAAATATATGTACAGACATACACTATAAACCTCATTGACATATACAAATTTAATTTGAAACCTTTTTTCAATGTAAATACTTGTATCTAACAAAACACGACAAACAATAATTTCTGAGTCTATGAAATGTAAATAACTTTGTAACTGTAGATTTGTATCTGCAACCTAATGGAACTATTCAGTTCCTTTCTAGTTTACTATATGGTAGCAATATAAATATATCATAAGAAATTAATAGTAATTTTTAAAATTGCCATTTTTGGCATCTTCCTGAATGGTAAAGCAAATTAATGCATATGTCATAGTCACTGAAAATCTTAATAATACACTATGAATGACTACAGGAGACAGCAAACAGAAAGTAAATCTTGAAGAATACTGAAGTAAAAGAATGAATTTAATTCAGGGAGATAGGTATCACTGAGATTATAGAATTAATGAGATGTAGGAAAAATAAATCTTGACTGTCCCACTACAAGATTTTTCTCAGCAACAAATAAACTTCAAGTTTAATGAAGTATGTAAAATCATAAAGAACACACTTGGAAGACATGTACTCCAATTTTGTTCATGCATTCCACTCCTGCTCATCATTAGTAAATGGTAAATTTGTCCTTGTGCTTAATTAAGCAGCTGTCCATGAAGACATATGGCGAAATAGAGGTATAGCTCTATGCATTCTTGACCTTGGTACTTGGTAGACATGAGAGGTCACCTTCAAGACAAAGTGCTTCACTGTCAGGGAATGAGCCCCTCATACCTGTTGGACAGAAGGATGGAGAAGCCCAGTATGGTCACTATGGAGACAAGAAAAGTCGGTTGCCCCTATGGAAATTAAATCCATATATCTCGGTCATCAAACCCCTAGTCTTGTTGCAATATCAACTGAGCTCTCCTGGCTCCATATTTATTACTAGTTAGAATTATTTTGCTCTTTTTCAGTTTGTATTTGCTATGAATCATTTTGTTTAATTTAATGAATGCAGTGTTACAGAAGAGCTCTTTAAATTCAGTTTTATTTCTTCTGTGTACCATCGGTGTTCTACATCCTCTTAAGTTTTCAGCTTTTAATTTTGGTTTGGGATTCATCAATATTTATTGTGACATGCCACCAGGAAGGCCGGACGATAATACATCCATCACTGGTCAACGGCCAGCAATTCCTAGGCAGCGATGCCTAGGAAATCGTTGCCCCGGAGATGAAAGTCCAACAGTGGGGTTTCCACTGTTATTTGTAACAAAATGTATTCCTGCGGCAACAAGAGATTCGTTGCATAGCAGCAGGTGAAACAAAACCCTTCGACAAGGTGTTCTCTAGTCAGCATGAGTGCAGGATATAACAGTCCAACTTTGGCAAGAGACCAGTCAGTTTAGCTTCGATGAAAGCTTCGACAGTTGAGCTCCGAGCATAGCAGAAGACAGTTCACTTAGATTAGCGGTATGAGAGTGTATAACATTGAAGAGGAAATGTCTGAAGACGTTGTAAGTGTGAATAATTGTATTTGTGAGAGTAAAGAGTGATCATCCAAATCCAAGCCTAGGAAACATGCGACATTATTACAAACCCCAAGAATGCACAATCCAAAATGATTTACATTGCTACACTTCACCCGTGCTTTAAGCAAAGCTAAGGAATAGGTATTAATGACCCTTGCACTGCAACCAGTCATCTGTTACACATTCTGATCTAGTTAATTCTCAAGCATCCACAAACTCTGAATGAAGTGCAGCTGCTTTCTCACTAAGTTTAGAAGTGCCATAAGAGCCTTGCAATTGCATGTGACACTGTTTCCTTCTCGTTCAGACATCTACTGAAATGGAATTATCCAAATGACACAGCTCCTATAAGTGTCTCATATATGACAGTGTCCTGTAAATAAGCCTGCCACAGGTCTTAATAGATTTCTATTAAAATTCACTAGTTTCCTAGTTCTGTTCTACACACATGAGGCACTTATCATGTTTTGACAATCACTTCATCATTTTGTACTGAAACTGAAACTGACCTTTATGACTTCATTACTGGAGACTATCAAGAAGCTGAGCTGTTTCTCATCAAACTTCTTGTTGTATACAAGCTGATTCCTCAATGAGAAGAAATACTGGCCATAGTAGGAGTGTTGTGCCTTCAAGTCATCTATTTTCTGTTTCTGCAGCATCTTTAGACTTGCAAGCTGCTTCTTGAGTCTTGTGATCAATTCCTGTGACAATTGATAAATTTGTTCCTATAAATTATTATAATGATATCATCATGTGTTCAGTATTGTGTTTACATGTTTTATAGTACTGACATTTTCCTTTTGGTCTTCTGTATTTTTTATTATTATGTTCCTTATAACGGTTGCTATATTATAGTGATAAATCACTGTGTAAATTTTATGTGACTTTGACATGTGAGGTATCCATTATTATTATTTGACATGTCCAGTTGTATTCACTTCAGATATGGACAAAAATAAAGTTGAAAGTATGATTTAGGTCTTATACCCCCATTAATGATCTACCTTATAGACCATTAATTTTATTCAAATTCTCTAAGTTTTGTTTTATCTTAGTGTCTATGAAGATAATACATACTAATTCTAAAACCAGGAACGTTATTGGCAACCTCAGAAAATGAAACTAAGTATATGCCTCTTACCATATTCATCTTCTAGCCATATATTTATGTATGGGTCGTGCTGTTATTATGCTGACTCAACAGTTCACATTTAAACAAAGGTTTTGATTTCAAATACAGTCTGATAATTTTTCTGCTGTACTTAATTAAACGCGTCTTATAGCATTTGATTTTATTTGAGATTTAAGTGACAGGGTGTTCCTTACCTTTTCATATTTAATTTAATTTTATTTTGAGCAGCGTTTCCTTGCCCTGGAATTCAGTTTATACATCATTTAATCCCATATATTTTATTCTGTATTAAATTTAAAAATGCCGGAGATACATAAACATGTGATTTTTACAGTAAAATACATTACTTTAAGTGCATAAAGTTTTGTTCACTTTTGTTTTTGTGTATATTTATGTATAATGTGGCACAATTCAGATATTGGGGAACAACGATAACAGATCAAAACCTGATTCAGGAGGAAATTAAGAGGAGATTGAACTCTGGTAATGCTTGCTATCATTCAGTCCAGAACCTTTTGTCTTCTCGTCTGCTGTCCAAAAACATAAAAATCAGAATATACAAAACTATAATTTTNTTGGATTGATCTGGCTCAGGATAGGGACCAGTGGAGGGCTCTTGTGAACACGGTAATGAACCTTCGGGTTCCATAAAATGCTGGAAATTCTTGAGTAACTGCCGAATTGGCAGCTCCTCAAGAAGGGCTCAGCTCCATGAGTAAGTGAGTAAGTATATATTTATGTATATGTTAAGCTTGGTGTCCAATTTATCCAAATGCAGCGAAGTTCCAAGATATTGAGAAAACAGATAGCAAGATATTACTTCAAAGGATTATTTCAAAATAACAAGTGACTTTAAGGGTTGGATGGATCATGAATAATGGACATTTCTAGATTTTTGGATTATCCATTATTTTTATTTATCCATTCCACTTCTCCCCTTCACTACTGCAGATAGTTAAGAATACACTGTATAAGTAAATTCCATGGCAAGAGAGATTTAATTTTATTCTTCTGCAGTAGGGTTTTTTTTCCTCTTGGTCATCATATGCAGATTAGCTGTGTACATGGTGATATGATTCCAATGTTTTTATTTTCTCCAGCAACACTGACACCTTTAATGTAATTTCCCCACTCTACATAAAATCTATCACAAGTATAACAATTAACACTTACATAGAAATAAGTGAGTATTTTACTTTGCTTTGAAATAGTTTCTGAGGACAATTCATCTTGGGCTTTCAGTTCGGCATATTGATTACGCTTGTCTTCTGTAGAATTGATATATTCTTGCAATGTATCCTGAAATTCTTTCCATAAATTTTCCAGCTTTGATTTGCTGTCATGCTGAACCCAATCAGTGACACTCAGCATCTGCCTCAAAACAGAAAACATATAAAGTAAAATAAACACATTAAATCAAATTACTACAAATTACAAGGTTGAAAAGGAAACACCACATTCCTTGTCTCATGATCCATTTATCCACCTGCAGCAGTGGAATACACAGCATTCATCAGAGGTACTACCAAAAAATATATTCCTTTCACTATTATTCATCATTTTGATAGATTAATTTTGTGCACGTTGATGATCAAAGTTAAGCATTTGTATGTACAAACTCCAACATTTTATATAATATAATATATAATAAATACTAAAAAAACAGTTGCTATATCATTTCATTCAAAGCAGAACTGAGATTCCTAGCAGTCTGTATTATTGGAAACTTAACATAATCCATAATCATAAACTGCAAAGAAAAATTAAATTTACATGTACAACACTGTAATACAGGGGACAAAGTTGCTCGCATCCATGATATTCTTTAAGTCATATGTGTACCCTGGGTAGTGCAAAATGAGCAACAATTCTGGTAAAGCTTCCCAAAAGAAAAGTGCAAACTTCTTCAAGATGCAACAAAGCAAGAACTTGAGTGCTCTCCACTGGGAAGCAAGAAGCAAAAGGGGTTAAATGATCCCAAATGCAGCCATTGGAAACCAACCAAACAACACTGTAATACAGTCCTCTTTAAGAAAAGTGTGATATATATGAGTATCGGTTTGTACAATAAGGTTCTAGATCAGATAAAATTAAAGGAAAACTTTAATTTATTTAAAAAGAGCCTAAAATAATTTCTATTGAATCTCTTTGTACTCTGTTGAGCAATTTATGTCATTCTAAATTTTTAATATGTGTGAGTGAAATGACAAAGATTTTGTTTTTCATTTTAATTTCTATAACTTTAGATACAGTACTTATTCTGGTAATAGAAATTTTGTATGCAGGTTTGTCATATTGTATCTCATTTTTATAGTTGTATATGGTATCTTGTGATGCATACACAATTTGTATATGTAGTTAAGTATTATAGTATTGGTGACATATATATATAATATATATAAGATAAAACTTGACTTGTTCTATATGTGGAGGCTGTATCGCCTAATATGGATTTCTAGAACAAATAAAGATACGAATATGGATATGGATATGAACCTTCAACAGCAGTTTTAAGAGTATATAATTTCCAATTGAAAAACATTTAACAATACCCATATGTAATGCATGGGAAACACATAAGATTAAATCATGCATCTCAAGCCACTAATTAATAGTACAAAGGGGCTATCATTAAGATTTTTAGCCTACTTCATTTTATAAGGAAAGACACTCTAATGATATCATCATATCCATGCATCTCCCCCCCCCTCAAACTTTCCTTGGATTCAGTACTTGATATGCATATCATACTACTAAAACCATGCTATCTTCATACATTTAAATTTTCAGAAAGAATATCACATGGTGGCCATGAACATTTTCAGGTGGAAACAATACTAATACCGCTTAATATAGGACCCAGAATTTTGTGCAATCAGAGATATTAAAGTGTATGCAGTTTTTGTTGAAGTCATATTTATTTGTAATATATAAACANGATGATGATGATATAACCAGAAAAGAGCAGGTGTATGAACTATATATTCAGCTGTCAGCTTGGTGAGTTAGACATGTCAAATTTTGTATGCCAATAGATCATAAATATAACTAAAAATTTTACAGCAACTCTTTTTATATATTAGCATCTAGAAATGTAGTAACACTGCAGAACTTTGAGGTTGTATCTTACAAGTTTAATATAATGGATCACTAACTTGTGTGATCATTAATTTAAAATTCCTGCTAGAGTCAATATATAAAATGAAAAACATTAATTAATGTAAACTCTTCACAGAAGTTCATGTTCAACTACCATTTAAACTCTTTGTCAGAAATTTTATTTTAAGCCCTTGTATATCAAAAATGAGCCTGATTATTGAACACAATGCAATGCTGAAGAACTACTTGCTAGTCTAACTCATTAGCCTTTCCCTGGTGATCATATATTTTGGCCATGTAAATGCTGTTTCAAGGTTATATACACTGTGCCTTTAAATGTAGGACATAAAGAGACTATAGTTCAGTAATGGTGAAACAAACTGAGTTGAATGACAACAGGCAGGGGTCAATTGGCAAGCACATTCACAACACATGCTTACTATATTGGCAGGGTATTAAAATAGTAAGAAAACATTAGATATGTTAGTTTGATTAACATTTGCAAATGTTTAATCTATTGAATTACTTTTAGTTCAGTGTAGCACCCAAGACATTTTCAATTTGATTAAGTAATTCCACTTACATTATTTCGAACTTCATCAGATTTTAGTGTATGATTTTCTTTCCAAACAGAGATCCATGATTTCATATCCTCCTGCATTTGAAAGTTGATTGTTTGTAGATGTTCTTCATTATACTTAGCTCCAGATAATATCCTTTGTTCTTCCCTTAAAGCTTCAAGGGTCAGTGATTTTTTATCTCGTACATAAGCCTCTCGAAGTTCTTCAAGTTGTTTTGCATGTAACACTGCAGAGAAAAAAATAGAGAATAGATATAGATAACAGATCTGAAATTGAAAAAGTCTGCTTTATTTGAAGAACAAGAATCTGCATATGATATCTTGAGTTGAAAGAGCAGATAAATTGTATTTATTGTAACTGGTTAATTATAAAGTTTCAATGCTACCTATATGTCCAGCAGTTCCATAAATTGGACTCTTTATGTACGCTAGAAGAGGAAGTCAAGGATATTACATCTAAAGATCTTGAACGCTATGAAAGAAGGTGACCTCTCCTCATCTGGCAACCTGGAAACTTCTAATTTAGAAAAGTTCAAACAAAGATTCTGAAAAGGGGTGGCATGCCATCTTCTTAGAAGAATTCCACTTACTCTTCTTCCAGTCATGGAAAAATGCAGTTTTTTGGCATACTCAAGTAAAAGTTACCTATTTTGATAGCCTCTGATAAAATAGAAGATTCTTAGCTGAGATAAAATGCTGTCTCAATACCTGCCAAAATATGAGAGAAGCTAAAGCGTAACTTTCAAATCCAGCCCATATCACTCCATCCTCTCTCTATCAGATACATTTCAATATTATTATCCCACCTACCTCTAGGTCTTCTAGTTTTCTCTTTCCTTCTGGCTCTCCCACCAAAATCCTATATGTATTCCTCTTCTCCCCCACTGGTGCTACCATGCCCTTCCCATCTCATCCTCTTTGATCTGATCATGGTAATTATATTTGATGATGGATAGAAGTTATGAAGATCGTCATTATGCAGTTTCCTCCAACCTCCTACCACTTCATCCCCCTTTGGTCTAAATATTCTCCTCAGCACCCTGTTTTCAAACACCATCAGCTTCCCTTAATTTCAGAGACCAAGCTTCAAGCCCATAAAGAACTACAGGCAAAATTATAGTTTTGTGTATTCTAATTCTTACATTTTCAGACTGCAGATGAGGAGATAAAAGGTCCAGAACAGAATGGTAGCAAGCATTATCTGAATTCAGTCTCCTCTTAATATCCCCTGAATTCCATTTTGATTTGTTACTGGCACACACAATTTTCTTTAACTGTGCCACATTTTCAAAGGATCTTCATGTTACAATTTTGCAATGGAATCTGGTGACAAGACAGTAACATCTGTGTTTACTTCTAGACCAGCCTCCTTACTAGAATCAAAGAAAGTTTGTATTTATCTTTATTGTATCTACATTATCACCCAGTAGCCTCACATGATCAGTATAGGCCAAAAGTGTAAATTCTCATTCCCAGTTGTTGGTTTGAAATTGTCTCCCCTACCTACTTCTAATAAAATTTTCATTTGGTATTTAGAAAATTTATCAAATACACCTTCTAGTTTCTCGTAGAAGCTTCACATGATCAATTTTATTGCCTGTTGGGGCATGAACATTCAGAACAATGATGTCACAGCAGCGACCTCTTAAGTATCATGTGCGATATCCTCTCACTAACAAACTCTACCCTCTTAACTGTTGATATGATTCTCCTGTGCACAAAAAAGAAAAACCTGTAACTAATTCATGATTCTCATTCCTCCTTCCATAGAAAAACATATATTCACCTGCTGGCTCAGTGCCACCTCTGTCCCATCTGACCTCCTTTACCGTCACTAAATATAACTTATACATTGTTATGGCCTACATAGATTATTTGGCCTGGATAAGGTGACAGGATGATTATTTATGGTGATCAGGAAAGGAAGCAATGATAGTGATCACACTAACCACAGTCAGCTTCCACTTGCAATAACTGAAGAGAACAAACATCCGAGTTCAAATTTGAGTACTTTAACCTTATTTTATAGAAACCATTACATACCTATAAGCTGATCTATAGTTTCAGCATGAGACTGAAAATTTCTAGCATATTGTTCCTCTGATTGGTCTAGCTCCTTCAACAGATTTTCAATCACATGATTCTTGGATTCCATAACATGCCCAAACAAGTCCCACAGGTTCTGAAAGAAAATTGCTATATTATTTTGAACAGTAATCACTATAGGAACACTGTCTAACAAGAAATAAAATCACTTGCCATTTATACATTGCATTTAGTAATCTGAAGGATCAGCTGNGTGATTCTCATTCCCCTTTCCATAGAAAAACATATATTCACCTGCTGGCTCGGTGCCACTTCTGTCCCATCTGACCTCCTTTACTTTCACTAAATATAACTTATACATTTTTATCACCTACATAGATTATTTGGCCTGGATAAGGTGACAGGATGATTATTTATGGTGATCAGGAAAGGAAGCAATGATAGTGATCACACTAACCACAGTCAGCTTCCACTTGCAATAACTGAAGAGAACAAACATCCGAGTTCAAATTTGAGTACTTTAACCTTCTTTTACAGTAACCATTACATACCTATAAGCTGATCTATAGTTTCAGCATGAGACTGAAAATTTCTAGCATATTGTTCCTCTGATTGGTCTAGCTCCTTCAACAGATTTTCAATCACATGATTCTTGGATTCCATAACATGCCCAAACAAGTCCCACAGGTTCTGAAAGAAAATTGCTATATTATTTTGAACAGTAATCACTATAGGAACACTGTCTAACAAGAAATAAAATCACTTGCCATTTATACATTGCATTTAGTAATCTGAAGGATCAGCTGTGCAATTTTTAAACCCATTCATTATGCAAGTGGATGTTGTAGTAACATGTTACCATACAACTATCTGAGCTCAAATTTCAGCCACTCATGAGTTATTTTCCTCACATTAAAACAGTCCACCTTCCCCCTGTGCTCTCATCTTGTCTTGGTGAGGTTCGCATGTCCTGGTCACCTGGAAGCTATACTAGCAGGAGCATAGTCTCCTAGTAGGGCCACCCATGCTGGAGAGATCTAAAGGTAGGGACTAGGTGATACACAGCCTTTGGTCATCAGAGTTGGGTGTTGGACACTAAGGTGAGCAGTCTCACTTCTTAAGACAATAAAAGTTAAGTAACTTAACTATGGATGATGGATAAATGAATGAATAACAGAGAAGAATGGGCATATTATAATGGAGGCAAAAATTCTTAGAGGACCATAAATCCAAGAAGTAACAAAATAAATTAGTCCATATAACCATGTGAGTTTAAATTACTTAAGAGAAAGCCTTCATAAAATTGTAATCTTTTCAAATATATATCATTATTTAAAACTGGAAACACTGCATTCAGTGGCACTAATGTTGATGCCACCATTATATGCTTAAATTATTGCTCTTGAAATTAAAAATTAAAATAAAAAAAACATCTCACTTGTCTATACAATGGCTATGCTGATAATGCTGACTGCACAGAATAAAACAAGGCTGGGAACTTTTCAGATTTTCATTGGCATGATATTGTGATATAATGACTGAAGCTGCAATAATGGAGCCAAAAAACTGTCCACTTCCGGGTAACAAATAAATAAACATGTTCCCACAGCACGCGTAAACAAGTATAAACATGTTCCCACAGCACGCAGTAAACAAGTAACAGAAGAATTCTTGGAAATGGAGTTACATGAGAAATATATGAAAATGATAAATAAATGTAATATTTTTATTTAATTATCCCTCTCTAACAGCTTACTTGTTCCTGATTACATGAGCTGCAAAGGGGTACCCATGGCATTGCTTAATTCTACATACCTCCAGATCTTGCTTAAGCTCTTTGGTCTTAATCTGTCGTAAGATCTGCCGCCAGTGTTGGTTGATTTTAGCAAGATTAAGTCTTGTGAATGCCTCTTCATGTTTCAGTTTATTCTGTATTTGAGAGAAGAGAAAGGTGTGTATATTATTTTATAATTCTGCAACAAATAATCTAGAAAAGGTTAATAATGGCGACTAGATTGGCTGATGAAAGATGAAACAGGTAACTCAAAACATACATACTACTTAAAGGCATCACTTGTGTTCTGTCCCAGAATTTTCACCTCTTATTTAGGAAAGTGCCAGTCTCTCTCAGTCTATACAAATTAATTGACTGGTTTTGGTTCTTTAATGAAATTGTTACAGCTAATAATTCCACACAACAGACTGAAAAACATTCTTGAGTGTGGTATAGGGTGGTCATAAATTATTCACCACATTTCAAACTTAACACACATCACAAAGTTTTAGAGATGTCAGGAAATGTACTGCATTCAAGTGCAAAGTCACTGCCATCAGGAATGTGAAGAACAAGCACTCAGAAGACAGTCCATCAGGCAATGGCTGGAACAGTTTCAAGAGAGAGGCGCACTTTCTCATCATGAGTTGATTGGATTCTTTCAATTGAAAAGCACGAACAATACAACGCAATTTATTCAATTCAATTTTATTTCATCCATGGATCATTATACATGATATGGGACAAGTCAAAAACTCAATATGCTTTAGTTATTTGGAGTCTTGCAGATGGCACACCTTCAACCAAGTGCTCCTTCAGCAAAATGGTGCCCCTCCACACTGGGGCCTTACAGTGAGAGTCTCTGAACACAATTTTCCAAAGAGACTGGGCGGGACAGACCAATCCCTTGGCCTCTTCACTCTCGCAGTATAACACCACTGGATTGGAGAGGGGGGCTATGTAAAGGATCAGGTTTTCAGTCAAAAAAGTGGTTGAACTTCATTCACGAATCAACAATTCATATTTGTTTCTTGTGAAAGGTACATTAAAACTGTATATAAGGTTTCCTGAATGAAGATGGAAACTACAACCAAAAAGTTAGTAAGATATATTAGGTGTGCTTGACAAGGCCCTGTGACAATTACTGTAAAACACATAAGATAATGTTACAAGATTTATGACAAACATGCAGATATTTTCACTGTTTTGGCCTGGAGTATATATCAACAACGATGGCCTATATCTGAGGAGTGTGTGAATTAGGATTTTTCAAGTGCCCATTGTGTATTGTTGTTTTATTACAGGCACTGTTAAACATTAAAATATTGTATAATTTCACCTTCATGAAAGTAGCAATAAGTTGCTGTTTGCGCCGTCTTGCCTCTTCCTCTATAGCTGCTCTGTGTTGTAAATATCTTGCTCGTTCTTCCTCAGTCATGCGTGAGAGTTTGCTTCCTTTTCCTTTCTTTTTATTTGCCATTATTAACGCTCAGATACAGACTTCTACAAAAGTTTGTTGGAAACTGAAAAACCAAGAATTTTTTATCTGTATATTTGACATACCAGCATTTTAATTGGGAACTGGGAAGCTTGGTCAGTATAGTGACCAGGCTACTGGCTGGATGATCAAGGAATCTGAGTTCAATTGTAAGAGGAGGAAGAGATTTAGCTCTAATCCAAGCATCCAGACTAGCTCTGGGGTCCACTAAGCATTCCAGAGGTTTTCCATGGGGGTAAAGTGGCCAGGTCTGAGATCAACCATTCACATTTATACAGTGCCAAAGGTTGAGAATTTATGAACCTATGCCTCAGCTTCCCCATACATTTTCATGGTGTGGTTCTTAGTTAGGAGCTTCATAACTTGTACTCTTCTCCAAGTATAATTAGAATGATCAAGTCAAGGAGAATGAGGTGGGCAGGTCATGTAACATAAATGGGGGAGACGAGGAATGCATATAGGATACTGGTGGGAAAGCCAGAAGGAAAGAGACCACAGGGAAGACCAAGGCGTAGGTGGGTGGACAATATTAGAATGGAATTTTTAAGGTCTTTCCTTGACGGAAGGAACTTGATTGTTAATTAGAATGGAACTTAGAGAGATAGTATGGGATGTTATGGACTGGATAGATCTGGCTCAGGATAGGAACCAGTGGAGGGCTCTTGTGAACACGGTAATGAACCTTCAGGTTCCATAAAATGCTGGGAAATTCTTGAGTAGCTGCTGAATTGGCGGCTCCTCCAGAAGGGCTCAACTCCATGAGTAAGAAAGTAAGGTTCTTAGTTAAGCACAGGAACTTCACCATCACAATTTTATTTTAATTGAACATACGTGCTTTCGTCAATTTAGTAAACTTATGTCACTTCAAAAATCGTAGCACATTCTTCTCTTAACCAGCTAAATGGCTTACTTGCTGCCTCATCGATCAGCCTTTTCAGAGGCTATAAGAATAATTTCATAAGATGCAGACAGGTGAGTAGACTAACATATGTGTCTGAAATACATGGCCTACAGACCACGCATAAAGTTCCAGTTCATTTGTGGCTTCCTCTAACTGCTGTGGGGTTGGGAATTACTTTCCATCTAAATCACGGTTGACTGGGGTTGTGTTTTGTGGAGAAAAATGTGTTCTGGTTTGAGTAACAAAAGCAAGTAGTTGTTTCAAATCAGGTCTCTACTCTGAGAACTCATCCAACTATTCATGTCGAAGTTACAACTACACATTTTTACTAAGTGGACCTCACAGTTTCATTTCATCTGTAATGAACAAATATATATAAATTTCATCAACTAAAGGTTTCTTGGATTAAGATAGAATGCAGTGTTTGCTAGCACATGTGACAGTGTTTGGTAGGATGTATTTGTGTGAGCAGATATTCTTACTTAGAAATATAAACAAACTGTAAAGCCGATCTCAAGTAGAAGGTGAACATATGAAATCAGCAATGACAGTGGCTTCAAGTAATCTCTCAGCCAGGTTAAAAAAGCTGTCCTACTCAAAAGAATACCAAGTGTGCAGCCAGTCTGCATGATATCTAACGTAAGATGCAAATTATTCATAACAATACAGTATAAATTCCAATACTTTTTGTTTAATTTTTTAAAGAATTTCATAAAGAGATTGTGGTGCTTGATGTGTGAGAGTCCAGAGGATGGTAATGTACAACATGTGTCAGTCAAGAGAAGTCAAAGCAAAATTTGTATACAATACTGATAAATTAAAAGGTAAAGCTATCCCTGTAACAGGCCGTGTAGGCCCATAGGGTTATGAGACATCAAGGCTTCCACATTTTCTAGACAGTCGGCTCACAGACGGCTGTGAGTTTGTCAGCCTTACGCCCTGGCCACCCTTTACCCCCATAAAGATTCCTGATACTCTTTTCTGTTACAGGCTGTGTCAACGCCAGGCCTACAGTGCAGCTTGAAGGCTTAGGTCAAGTGGAAAATCCAGTGACCTCACTGGGTATCAAACCCACATCCAAGAATAAATATTTTAAGCAAAATGCTTAACACCATTATTCCTTAAAGTGATGTGTGGAATTATCCATTTTGTCTGTGTATGATTTGAGTGTGAGACCTGTGAACTAACAGGTTCACCCAAGACAAATGTGTCTATGAGTTTANTGAGCCCCAGAGCCGGTCTGGACGATATGGAGAAGTGAAAATTCGTAACTCTACCGAGACTCGAACTCCGACCCCTCGGCCGTCCAGCCCATGACCCCTCGTTATACCGACTGCGTTATCCCGGCTCATTACCCGACATCTCATACACTGTTATTATTCTTATTGATATACTTTACCCGTACCGGTCTTCAATATTATATTTGCACAACTGGTAACAGCATTACACACAGACAACGACGGCAATACCCAAATTCGTTTCGTTGCTACGCAACACAGAAGACACAAAGTCTCTCTCCCATTCCCCCATTTGTGCTCTTTCTTTGGCCTCTTGTGCGTATCACAGTCAATGTTTCCTATGGTTCCTGTGCCTAAAAATACTAAAGTGCGGTTCTATTGTTTTAAAGTATGTTATAATAAAAAGAGTATAAGCTTCGGTATAGCCAGACAGTTTCAATGAGAGAACTGGAATGAAAGTGTGTAAACAGTTTGAAACATATGATGACCTACGTATCAATAAGTACGTAACACAATTTGAAAGAAACCGAAACAATTTTCAGAACTATGGCCACTTTCCCACTGAATTTCTAGCTGTTAGTTCATCCCGTTTCCACGACAACACGCCAACAAAGGGAATTGAAACAAAAGGGAAACAATTACATGAATGGAAAATATTAAACAAACAAAAAATAACTAGTAGTTTCTCGCTGTTCCTTCTTTCTGAATAGTTTCGTCGTTTTTGTTTCCCTTCCTTCGTAAATAGTTTTATTATGTGTCGTTATCTGCAGTTTCCGCATCTCCCTACGGACCTTTAATTACCCTTTTAATTGCGGATCCTCGTAAGGAAACGTGACACATTAAAGCATTACAAGAATTTCATATTATTTATAATTGATATCATGATGGCGGCATTGACAGTGTGAAGATTTTGATGTGATTCTAGGGAAATCCAAAATGTGGAGCAAGTTCTCGGACTGAAGTGTTGTATTTTCAGGAATATATGGCCGTGTAGTCCGTTGAAGGTCAACCGATGTTTCAAAGGAATATGTCGCCTCCATCTTCAGGGTCGAAGAATAAGCCAGGAGAGAAACCAGTGTCAAGCACGTATCAGGCAGCAAACGCCATTTGGCTTTCAGCGGACTACACGACGTTGTATCTCAGGAAATGGAATATTTCATAACCACTGCTGTGAGGACCTCAAATCGTACAAGTTCTCTGATTTATTAAAACGTCTTTGTATTACGTGGGAACGGCGGGCAACTTTACCATACCATATCAATATATCAATGGCCCCAAACAAACTCGTCAGGACGCCCTGGCAACTGTCACAGGAACAAAATAGCATTCACCGCATGCACTACCGATATCTATATTCATTTTCGGTTAACTATGTTAATTCATTTCCTGACAGCGACGAACGCGACGAATTTGTGTACTTTGTGTATCAGAGTGATCAGAGATCAGAGTTACAGTTACAAGGCATGGGTGGTTTGAGTGTTGTGTCCGTTGTGTTGAAGTTGAAGTTTCGTGTATATNTTACAGTTACAAAGCATGGGTGATTTGAGCGATTTGAGTCATTTGAGTGTTGTGTCCGTTGTGTTGAAGTTGAAGTTTCGTGTATATTGTATAGTTTAAGTTATTTTGACAGTATTAGAAATAAAATGACTCACAGCCTGCTCACTTGTATGATACCAGTCTTGAACATAAGTAAGAAAGTTCTACTACCGAGTTCTGGCAGGCTACGTAATAGTACACTTTTATGGAAGACAGTGGAGGTTAGATTTCTCCGTGGTGTAGCCGAAAATTCGGCGGATACGAACGCAGGAAGTTTGCCATTTTCGAGATTAGAATCCTCTGTCTCACAGAATGAAAATTACGAAACACGGCTTCTGAAGATTGCCATTATTGGTGTCCCAAATGCTGGGAAAAGTACTGTTATAAATCAGCTGGTGGGCAGAAAGGTAGATACTAGCGGATCTTAGTATTTAAAGTCGGCATCTTTGAATATACAAACCGAAATAGAGTCTGTTTCATTTGAAAGTATGATATGTTTCTCTTTTCATGTAGGTTTGTTCTATATCAAGAAAGGTGCACACTACTAGATGCAATGCAAGAGCAATTGGAATTGAAGGCAATACACAGTTAGTGTTTCTGGACACCCCAGGACTAGTTAACGCTGATGAGTCACACCGGTAAACATTTAATGTTTGCAGTACATAATATGCAGGGCTTTAATCACTTTCTTACCCACTTACCACAGGCGATTTAACAGGGACCAATAACAGACTCATTCGGCTTTCTTTTTTTCTTCTCTTTACTTTTATTCTTCTTCTTGGGGTGGGGTGAGACTGAGTCCACTTGGTACGTCAGCCATTAACTAGCCTATTGTACCAGTGCCGGACAATAGATGAGAGAGTGGCAGTTGGTGGAATGAAATTGGCAAGGGGAACTGAAGTACTTGGAGGAAATCTGACCCAGTGTCACTTTGTCCACCACAAATCCCACATGACCTGACCTGGGTCCGAACCTGTGCTGCCACAGTTGTAAGCCAGCAACTAACCAAGTGAGCTATGGCACAGCCAACTCATTCAGCCTTAGTCTAAATGTGTTACCTTTGTTCCTGTACTGTTATGTTTAACATTCACTGTTCTGCCCTAAAGATGTATGCTGCAGAATACTGCAGAACACTTGTACATTGTATCTACCAAACTATACAGCATCACATCCTAGCAGACCATAATTTTAATTCAGTGTTGATTTTTTAAATACCTGCTGTACAAATATTTGTATGTAACAGACTGTAAGACTGTGGATGAATGAATTTTGATCAGTGCCTAGTAGATGTGAATACCTGTACCATTTATAGAGCCCTGCTGATGTGTATATGTGTGTTACTATCTATTTACCTATGTAATTTTCAATCATTTCATTCTGACTTTGAGTGTATTATTTGCACAAAATGCGTAAAATAAAAGTATAATGTGAATATGGTGGATGTCTGTCTACATATTTAATGTCTGAAATTGCCGAGTGAATTCTGATGGAATTAGTTTTGAGGATCATACTAAAATTATCAGACAAATGTAACTGCTTACATTACAGTAACATGAGAAGCGCCTTTCTTTTTCTAATATAGTAAACTATAGTAAAATCTCATATAGAATTTAAATACCAAAAAGAGGCTTGGCTGATGGCACTACACACTGGTGTCCTAAATTAAATTAGTAAAGGGTTAATTTTGTTGGGTACCTGTCTGTTATCACCTCCAACTAGTACTGAGATCAAGAAAATGTGGATCTATACATCCACTCCCCCACATGCCTTCATGGCATAGTGCTTAATTAGTTAAGCACAGGGCCAACTTTACCTTTTTTACCTGTCAATTATAACCCCCTACTACATATGAAGTCCAAATAGAACTTTACAGAAGCTCTTGAAACCATATAATCATACAAAAAGAAAAACAGTCTACATGACTAAATATATATCTCATTAAGGTCTACAGTTCCAAGACAAATAAGGGCACTGGAGCTGGTGTGTACTGCCATGGCACGAGGCGGAAACTTAGTTTCAGCCTTGGGCAGTACACGACAGTATTCCAGGCAGAAGTATATGCCATTAAAGCATTAGATAGGAACTATAGAAATAGGAACATCTACATTCTATCTGACAGCCAAGCTGCACTTCAAGTGCTTGACAAACACCAGATCAATTCAAAATTGGTCTGGGATTGCCACCAAACCCTCATGGAACTGGCCAAACATAACAGGGTACAACTGATATGGGTGCCGGGGCATAAGGGTATTGCTGGAAATGAAGCAGCAGACCAATTAGCTAAAATTGGAGCTGAACATCCATTCATAGGACCTGAACCAGCCTGTGGCATCTCTCTTGTAGTTGCCAAACAGGCAATTAGGGACTGGACAAACATAAAACATAAGAAATACTGGGAATCCTTAACTGGACCCAGGCAAGCAAAGAGACTCATACGAGGACCTTCCGCTAAAAGAACGAAGGGACTGTTGAAGCTCAACAGGAACCAGCTATGATGGGTGGTAGGGCTACTTACAGGACACTGTCACCTCAAAGGACACCTGTTCAAACTGGGACTAAGTGATAGTCCCACTTGTGAGAGGTGTCAGATAGAAAATGAAACAGCCACGCACATCCTGTGTGAATGTGAGGCTTTAGCTTCTTTAAGACGACATCACTTGGGTCAGTACTTTATGGAACCAAGTGACTATTTTGACGCCCCCACGTCCAAAATCCTGCGCTTCATCTGAAGTGTGGGGTTGCTAAGGGAATAATTAAAAAATGCGAAGCACAGTGGACCACTGAGGTCTGGGTGCAAGGGCCGAGAAGGCCTACCCCCTCATACATTCATTCATTCATTCATTCAAGGTCTACAGTTTGTTTGAAGACATTCTGATATTGCAGTGTTCAACAAATTACAAAAGAAACTAATTTGTTAATGCTATGGCATGTGTGTATCTGTAATATGATTAGCTTTGCAACAACAGATTCATAAGAGCAATAAATGATCATCAAAGCCAAAAAGGTGTGCAAAGCCAAAGATGCATTTGTAAGATATGTATACTCCACTGGAAGTCACCTTTCTACTCTGTCTAAATTTTGGACAACTTATGTGGTCTGTTTAAAAAGTTTCTGAACTTTTGAAATAGTGTGCCAACTCAACATCTTAGCAATGTTGGGTGAGTTGTGCTGCCTAGTGGTGTGCTTCCTAATTATCATCCTTTTTACCATATCATCCTGTTGTGATTAATCATTGCTCTAGAGGCATTTGTTCACATGCATGTAGAGTGTGTCTTGTGATATTCGAGATGGCTGATATTCATGAGCAGTGTATTAACATTAAATTGCACTTCAGACTAGGGAAAACGTTTATGGAAACTCATGAAATGATGAAAAACGTTTATGGTAATCAGTGCACGAGCTGTACATGTTGTTATGAATGATTTAAGCAATTTAAGTACAATCAGCAGTCAACACGTGAAGAACCACATTAGGGATAGCCATCAACATCATGTTGCACAAGTTCATGAAATTGTGCATTCTAATTATTGGTTGACCGTGTGGAAAATAGCAGAAGAGTGCAACATATTGATAGGATCAATACTTCCAGCAAAATGAGAAATGCATCAGGTAGTTTAAAAGTTTGACCCATGACTTCTGACACAGGATCAGAGAGACAGTTGCATTGTCAGGAACTTTTGGAGGAGGAAAAGTTTCTGAAAAGAATTATAACTGGCGATGAAACATGGGTTTATGGATATGATGTGGAAGTGAAAATGCAGTCTTCACAGTGGGTTTGAAGGTGTGGCGGGTCATGTCAAACATGAAAGCCATGTTGATGGTATTTTTTTACATAGAGGGTGTTGTGCATCATGAATTCTTATGTCAGGGGGAAACAGTGAATCACTGGTATTATCTCAAAGTGCTGCAACATCTAAGGAAAAAAATGTCACTAGAAAAAGACCTCAGTTGTGGAGGAACTCATGGTTCCTCCATCACGACAGTGCACCAGCTCATGTATCACTACTAATTCATGACTTTTTAGCCAACATGAACACAACTGTGCTTCCTCAACTGCCCTACTCACCTGACCTGGCTCTGGCAGACTTTTTCTTATTTTCCAAACTGAAATCCACTTAGAAAGAATGACGATTTCAGATGATTCAAGAGATTACAGAAAATTCGCAGATGGAGCTATGCACAGTCCTGAGAAAGGCGGACCAGGACTGTTTCCAGAAGTGGCAGTAGCATTGGGAGTGGTGCATCAATGCAGGAGGGGAGTACTTTGAAGGCAGTAAGGCTCACTCAATTGCAAGCATGGCCAAAAGATCATGTAAAAAAGAATAGTTCCAAAACAGATCATGTATATACAGTATTTCTGACACTGTGTGGAAGTGGTGCTAGAACTGGACAACTGATATGGATTTAAGAAGGGCAAAGAACAGTTTTATTGTTGTACTTTCTAAGTTGCTGTTTGTTTTATATTGGTCATATTGGAAATCTTCTGAATTCCCTACCACCAGGTTCAGTGAGTCATTGAGCTTAGCTGTTTCTAACAGGCCCAACAGAGTTGGCATATCTCATCCCCTCACCAGAGGATGGAAACAGTTTCAGTTTCTAAAATGTGTTCTTTTACGGTACCAGGCAATGGACAGAATCCAAAAACCCAGTAATCCCAAGACATGTAAGATGTTATTTTCCCTCTACGTGCTTTAAATAAATACTACCTTACAGTTAATTCAGATATTTCAGCCTCACATTATCACATGCCTTCCATTTAGGTACTGAACTACATCTGCTGTGCAGCAGTTTGATTTGCATTAAATGTAATTTCACACCTGTCAGTGGGTTAAATAAACTAGAACAGTGAATTCATGAACTACAGTCTGACATGTTTCAAGTACATCAGTACATAGTTTAGGGACAATTGTTAAAAGGAAGTGACTTCATTTGTAGTCACAATGAATGTACTTCCTACCCACAGGCACCATCTGGAACACTCCTTTCACTGTGACAGTGAGATAGCTATGTTAGAAGCAGATGTCATAGGAGTAGTACATGATGTGTCAAACCCATGGACACGAGACAGGCTTGATCCCAAAGTGCTACGTTTGCTGTACCTCTATCCTAGGAAGCACTCCTTTCTTATCCTTAACAAGGTATGTTTGTATTATGGACACTTGTCTCTATGTTTCATATATTAATCATTAATTTTATAATATTGTTAATGTAGCATCAGATGAGGCAGGATGGTTATAAATTATCCTTAAGGAAGTACTCCCCTTTGCAAGCTATTTTATGACTCAAATGAAGTAGCTAATAAATACATATGATATAAATAAATGAATGTTTTAAAATAACTCTTCCAGATGTCTTGTTCATCAGCATTGCCACTTTACTTGATAGTCTAAATAATGGATGACCCAAGTAACTTAAAATCTACTGTCGTGTTGTCTGCAAATTTAGTGCATGCTCAGATAATTATTTCAGTCAGTCGTGGTTTTGTCACTGACTCAGAATTCATGATTGCACCACTTGATGGACGTTTGCTTGTGAACCCATCCATGTCTAAAATAAAGTCATAACAAAGGAGAGCTGACTGTTCTCAGACTAGTCGGCAACATGCATATTCACCGTCTTTGTGCCAGTCTTATGGTGCACTACCATAAAACTCAATTACTGGCATGTAGCTTTATCAGATACCTGTTTTTGCACTTGTGTTTGCTGGGCAGAAGCCCATATTTTTTAAAGAAAGTGATCACATCCTCAACAGCGCTTAGCAGATCACAAAGAATGCATGCAGTTTTATCTGCATTATTTATCCCTGAAATCACTTTTATGGATTTTGATTAAATTTGGTCTAGGGCATTCACTAACAGTTACTGGGCAAATCTTTGTTTTGGTTTATACGTGTAAAACATGACCCATATTTTATGCGAAGCTCTAATTGGACTTATTAATTCTTTATAACAGTCATCATACAAAGAATTGCTACATGGTCCAGTCAAGTGTATCCACATGAGAAGATGAAGGTTGAACTCTGGTCAAGATATGTACAACTTTCTCACAAACAAATTTTGTAAAGAGAAAAAAAATACAGCCAATATTATATTGTTGTGATTAGATGCAGGGTCTTGATTGATAATTGGATTCATTGAACACTCATAACTCATAACTACTGATAATTACAAAACTTTCACAAACCTACACACTCTTCAGATCACTACAGCACACACTAAATCTTCTCACTGTATTATGTCTTCACTAGTCGTTGCTTGGTAGCAGCATCTAACAATGCAACTCAGGCTTTAATCGCCAGCCGCTGACCAAAGTTAAAGTCAAAGTTATGTTATGAATGACAGTCAGTTGGTCCATCTCTCTTGGTGTCAAGCCCCATATGGGGCCAAAGACCTGATTTTTATTACTGACAGTTTTGGGTTTGTTGATGGGGAGCACCCTCTCAGATGCGAGGACAAGTGTGTAATTTACAAGTGCTCCTGGTTCTCACCAGCATAGTCATTCTTGAGTCTGAATCTCACAGGACTCGTGACCAAATTTTGCTGTCTCAGGTTTGAGACTCCCCCAGCCTGGAGGACCAGGTCCCCATATTTATATCCCCCAGGAAAAATGTGGGCCCAGTTATACCAGCAGGCACTGGGTTCAGACTTCAGCCTCAAAGTCAGTTATTACCAATGGTCAGTTGGCCAGTCTGTCTTGGTGTCAAGCACCCATCTGGGGCCCAGGACCAGATTTTTATTATTCTCAGACAGTTGTGGGTTTGTTGATGTGGGGTGTCTTCTCTGACGAGATAACACGTCTGTTGTTTACAGTTGTTGCTGACCCTCTTCAGCACAGTCATATTTACAGCCTGTGAACTCAAGCAGGCATTTTGCTTCATGAGTTGTAATGCAGCTTTGCGATGGCCATTATTCTGTCTTCTTCTGACTTGGCCCCATTGGGCTCTGTCATGATCTGCCGAAATATCGTTGCAGCTTCTGCGAACATGTCATTCAGAGACTAGCTGTTTGCATTAGGAGCGTAGACTGACCGACTTGATACTTGTTGGTTATGCCTCAAGGGAAATTGTAAATTTGTTACTGGAGAACACTTTTTCACTCTTCATATTCTTTGCTGTTTTCACTGGATCTGGAAACATAATAGATCCTCTGTGTTACCAATAATAAAATTTATGAGTTACAGATAGATGCATTGAAGACCAAGAGAAAACTGTTGGATGTTGTCCGTCTCCTGACAAACAATTCCCTGGCAGGACAATCAAAGACTTCTGAACGTGAACCATTATCAGCAATAAATTACCCAGAGTGTATAGAGCAGCAGCAAGCACATAAGAGCCATGATCACCAAGTGAAGGATGACATGAGCTCCTCAATACTTTCAGAACTGCAGGTCCAGAGGAAGGTGGCAAATGAGAGAGGTTGGCCCAACTTCAAAGAAATCTTTATGGTGTCAGCCCTTTTGGGAGATGGCATGAATGATATCAAGGTAACTGCCAAATTGGAAATATTTTTTTGTTTCATGTTAATTTATTTCACTGATTACATAGCAGCTATCAGAATTCTGTTTGGAATAAGGAAGAATTGTCTGAGCAATGGAAGGAGTCTGTAATTACACGAATTTACAAGAAGGGTGATAAAAATGAGTAGTAATTCCCGAGCCATATGACTGTTATTAACTTCATACCAAATGCTTTTTTCGATATCATTCTCTCAAGTTTAAGTCCATATGTAGCTGAAATTATTGGGAATGATCACTGTTGGATTTGACATATCAAGTCAGATGTTTTGCATTTGTAAGATAGGTAGAACTGTGCCTGTAACAGGCTGTGGAGGCCCATAGGGTTGTGAGATGTTGAGGCTTCCACATCTTCTACACATTCGGCTCACAGATGGCTGTGATGGTGGGGGTACACAGTAGCGTAGCTGGTTGAGGCACTATGCTACAAGCTGGAAGGTCGCAGGTTCAAGTCCCGTTGAGGTCATTGGATTTTTTCAGTTGACCTAATCCTTCCAGCCGCACTATGGCCCTGGGGTCGACTCAGCCTCTAGCAGAAATGAGTACCAGGAATATTCTTGGAATATTCTTGGAGGTAAAGGGTGGCCGACACCTAAAGCTGACAACCTTGCTGCCATGTCTAGAAAATGTGGGAACCTCAACATCTCACAACCCTATGGGCCTCCACAGCCTGTTACAGGGATACCTTTACTTACTTTAATTCTTACATATACTGAGGGTATTTGCAAATGATGCTGCAGAAAATATTTTTACCAAAGAGGTATGAAATAATATAAGTTTGGAGAAAAATGTGTTATGAGGAGCTTCATAGCTTTCCCTCTTCACCAAATGTTATTAGGATGATTGATTCAAGAAGGATGATGTGGACAGAGCATGTAGCATGCATGGGAAGGAAGAGGAATGCGTGTAGGATTTTGATCAGAAATCCAGAAGGAAAGACACACTAAGAAGACCTAGACATAGGTGGGAGGATAATATTAAAATGGATCTTAGAGACATATGGCGGTGTGGTATGGACTAGATTGATCTCTCTCAGGATAGGACCAGTGGAGGGCTCATCTGAACATGGTAATGAACCCTTGGGATTTGTAAATACAAGTTGTTTAGTATTAGGCTGTAGTCTTGTCAAGGCCATGAAATGAAATGGTGAATGGGTTGAATATCTGACGACATAACTCACCTGCTGCAAGTGCAGTAAATAAGACTGCAGCTGAACTGGACCTTTTGAAGTCTTCTAAAGCAAGATATAATTGTTTGTTGCTAATGAAGAATACATGAAAGCCATGTGAGATTTCAGGTTTCCACAGCAATGACCATGAAAATAACTATCTCTGGGGTGTGACACTATGTAATTTGATAGATAGCTACAAACTTTTTAGAGGAATCTTTGGCCTCCACCTTCAGGGCAGAAGATGGTAGTAATAGGTTGCGACAAAATATAAGTACCCATCTTCAGAACTACACAGTGTCTCATCCAAGACAACAGTAATCTTATCAGATCCATTTAAAAATGTAAGACTGATTGACAGACATTATTTTCTTATGGAATGTGATGCCATATAGTCTGGTAAATGTTTTCTGACGTTTGAGGAACAAACTGTAGAAGAATAGCCTGAAGATGAAGATAGTCAATTCCTCTGTTATTTTGATACATATTCGCCAGACTGCATGGTGTCACATCGCAGACAGTAATCTTTATAACCACCACCATGAGAATTTCAGATCTCACATTCGTGACAAAGTTCAAATTTGGACTGTAACACTCATCTGTTAGATGATTTATCAAATTCCTAATTATTTCAAAATAACAGTGTGTAAAGGAACAAAAGGGTACCTAATCTGTGCTTACTGAATCATAAAATCACTGAATTGCACAAACAGGCCTTGCTGCTGAACTCCATTGTAACGACCAATTCATGTAATCTTTTATAGACTAAATTTTTGTATCAAGCAAAAACTTTAGTAAGAGGTGATTGTATGTAGCTCCCAGAGATACTTACCAAGGAGCTACTGCCATCTGGGGTAGGTAGAACAAATTACAGTGAGTGGATACTTAGCAGTAGTGACAAGCCAGAAGCCCAGAATCGAAATCTCAGAAATTTTTGTGGGACTTTCAAGTCCCATCAGTGTATAAACAGATAATAAACTGCTGCTGTACAGTATTCATTTTCGGTTTTCTTTCTTTATTTCTGTTTCTCCCTGTCTTAGTTCCTCCCTACCACCTGTGTTTTTGCCCCTACCAGTTCATTAAAGCATTGTACACATATTGTCAATGATCATGTGTTATTTTCTACTTGCGACAGGAATTATTCCTCTCATATAAATTAAAGTAGAGCAATACCAAGAAAATGACATAAACCAGAAACAGTAAATATTTAAGCAGCCTATTTTCCATTCCATATATTACTGTGGAAAATTACAGCAAAAATTTGTGTGCTGTGTACTGCAGTACACAGCACACAGGAACATATCAAACCATAAGCCATACAACCTCAAGCTGACGTCTCCCATCTTCGGGATGAATTAACAAGGAGGAGTTCAGCATTTTATATCAAATATATTTAAACATTTTAGCGTTTTAACTTAAAAATAGGTTTGGATGAATAGTGAGAACTTGAGAGTGTACGCAACTATCTTAGCATGTTTTGTGCTTTTACACGTCAACATATCGTAGCAACGTCCACACGACAAAATTGTGAACATCAAAAACAGTGACAGTGTTTCCATAATTGTAGCAAGTGCCTCTGATGATGGTTGTGTCAAACCGAAACATGTAAGGCAGAAATAATAATAAAAAGTGACCTACAAATTGTTACACTCGACGGACCTTCTATTAACTTTGTTATAGCAAAAATATTTAAGGGTAGTACCTTCAACTCTTCTACTTGATGGGTCAAAGTACGTTATGGTGTGATTACAGGATTATTTGCTGCATATATCTGAATCCTCACCGTGGCTGTACCCAGAGTCCAAGTTCACAGATCAGCCTTCAGAAACTATAGTAGTTAACACTGTACGCTCCAAGCTACTGGACCATTTACCACAGGAAATTCCCTATAATCTCAACACACTTATTGAATATTTTGATGTTGGGAAAGAAGGTATGTACAAGCATGTCATGCCTAAGCTATCTCAGTGCATGCATTGACATGGTCACCTTGGATGTCAGTTTAAATTTGGTAAGCTTGTTGATTCTGCTAAGTGACAATTACAGTGAAACTTTACGATCCTGGATTCTATGTTTTATCGTTAATTTATGCACATTTTACATGGCCCTGGCTCATAACAGTAATGTTAGACTTTAATGAATTTTACATTTCTGTAACTTTACACTTTCCCTGAATTTATACTTCATTCTTCTAGTCCTGGATACAAACGTACCTGATTTTACATTTCATAGTTAAATTCTTACAATTTATTAACCAAGACAAAAGACCTCTTCTCTTGTTAGCAGTCGCAAATAGTTCACTTTGAAAATATGTATCAAGTGGGTGCTGCACGGCTGCAAGTGATTTGTGCACACACCATTTGACATCACTATGGCCTAGCATGCAAGAGTGGACTATTCTGCCGCCATGGTCCAAACAGCTAAAGTGCAAGGCCAGCTTTGAACCTGATGTGTCTTAGTATAACAGTAATTGAGCAAGTGTATTTTGTCTGTCCCGTTTCTGACAGTTGTACCAAAGACTGACCATTGCAGTCCAGCAGCCATCATGTTTTTTGTAAATGCACCAGGGTCAGATTATTTGATATTCCTGTTCCTGTGTGACTTGACTTTGTAAAGTCTAGATTTTATTATAAACTTAAATGAATTTCACAGCAAGCAGTGGAAATACAGATAATAAAGGGAGTCCTAAGTCACTTACAAATTAAAATCAAAGTTATGTTATGACCAATGGTCAGTTGGCCAGTCTGTCTTGGAATAAAGCACCCATTTGGGGCTTACGACCAGATTTTTATTACTAGACAGTTGCAGGTTTGTTTATGTTGGGTGCTCTCTCTGACAAGAGGACGGGTCATTTGCCAGAGTCACAGTCAGCAGTAATAAGTTTGTTGTCAGTATGTACAGTTTACATTTTACATGTAATTAAATGTATATAAAACATATGCAAGGCCTCCATCATTCCAGGCTCAGTACAGCAGATCATAAGTAGCATGCAATTGGTGATAAAGTAAATATTTGTATTTTAGCCCAAGTTGATGCACATATTGGAACACATGTTGAACAGGGATGTCTATAAGGGTATGGATTGGTGAATGGATTTATTGACCACTTATACACACCACTCATAAGTAAAAGTGATTACATACAGCACTGTCACTAATCTCCACAATTCACAAATCACCACAGCACCCCTGTAAGACTTTCACTATCAACATTAGTAATCAAGTGATATTTTTATATTTCCATTTCATATTTTATGGCATAATGCACTACTGCATCAAGACACTGCTTGTTTAGGAGTAAAACAGCCAGAACATGAACCTCAGTTCTGTCTTCCATACCCTTTATTTTTAGTATTTAGCTAAGTGAATACCAGACTCATTTTTATAAGTAACTGTAAATTGTAGGTACTGCTGTATAGCAGTTTTCTTTTTCAGTTGGAATTCTGAGGTAAAGGTCAGGTAAAGTTGCCCTTGGGCTTAACTAATTAAGCACTGCGCCATGAGGATGTAGGGGGTCATGGATGTATAGATGTTTTGTAAAAGAAGGTGAAGTCACAAAGTGCCACATGTTATAAGAATAAGAAATAATTTAGTTGTTTATGCAGTAATGTATGTAACTTAGTATTTCATTATATCACTGAATGAAAAGTATTGTGGTTAGAGACAGTCTGGTTTTTCTTTCATCCTTTTAGTAAGGAGAAGTTTGTGGTGCACTTATTTCATCTTTGACAATTTTTATATTTAACTCTGTTTTCTGTAACACCGCAGAACCATCATTAATAGTGCTATGCCAGAAACTACGCTTAGTGTATTGTCTGATGTGCATGTGTGATTACTTAATTTTACAGTCTTTTAAAGTTGGGCTGTACCTGTCTGATTTACAGGATCCATATCAGCAGTGGTACTTGTGGAATGCCCAACACTTCGACTTCAGCAACTGGTTGTTGGGTCTGGTGGGCTAAGGGTCCGTACAATAGCACGTGAGGCAGAACAAGAATTGCAGAGTACCTTCAGACAGCCAGTACGATTGAAAGTGGCTGTTACCAACAAAAGCCAAAAACTTACAACTCTGTATAAAAAAGAAAGGCTCTCTTAAGCCATCTAGTGCTGTAACTTGTTCAGACAGAAAGCTCATTATTATCTTACATTAATTGACGCAGACTGGACTTCATACATCTTGTTACCAAATATTAATGCAGTCTTTGCATGAAGAGCCTGAAATGAGTAACAAGACTGGAAAGGGTGTACTCTGTAATACAGTACATAAAATTCATAATGGACATCTTTGTAATTTGTTAAGCATGTGTCTGATGATTTATGACCTCAGTAAACTGTACTTTATTGTGGATCAGTATGGCTGAAAAACAGAATTGCCTGAGAAGTTTAGTGCTAGTCTCCCATATCAAATTTTAAAAATAGTATCTCCAGTGGTTTAGGCACTGATGTTGGGTTATAGATAGCTGGATAACATGACTTCCATATAAGTCATTCTTCTTCTTTACTTTGCAAAGAATGCCTAATGCTTTGGAGGGTAGTCTGTCCATGGTTTCAACTCTGAAACAAGTGAAATAATTTCTGTGAAATTTTGGAGAGGGGCCTACATTAATATTTATCAGACTAATTTAATTTAATACTGATCTAACTTAATGAGAAGTTCAAATCGAACTTCATCAGTTTTCAGAAAGAAACAGCTCATTGTAAAAAAAATATAGCTCTTTCTAAGTTATAGAGCTCCTATTTGAAAATGTTTTTGGTATGGTGAATATTAAAAACATACACAAGGGAAAAATAATTATGGTGAACACATACCATGTTTCCACATCACATTCAACTGTAATCACATTTTCCACAGAAATTATACATTGGTCAGAATTGTATCCCAGGACATTTTCTTTTCATTGCTTGGTAGGAAATCACATGGCTGAGTCCATAGCCATGAATATTCATAGCTTGTAACCATATTACATTCATTGTCCCCCCCACACACACACACACACAAAAATAATAGATTTCTTTCACTACACGCGGACCATGTCCGTAGGAGACTAGGCACAGCATTTGGCAACAGGATAAGAGACGGCCATAAAATAGCAGCTTCTAATAGGGAGTTAAGAAAACACTCAGCAAGACCCTAGTGCTGGAAGTCATAAGGCTAGTTGTTGGGTCTTCCAGCAGGCATTGTGGAGGAAGAAGGGTCAGAGCCAGCCAGCATGACATGGCAGTGCTGTTCAAGAAGGCAGTCACAGGTGTCACAGGCCTATCACCTCGGAAAAGAAGGAACAGTGATACGCCTGTAGGCTATTCCAGACGAGCAGCCTTAAGGAGGGAGCGGTGTGACATCATGGCTGAAAGTCAGAACAGCAGAGTGAGATGAGGCTGCCATTGCTAGGCGTAAACTGGTAAACACATGAGCCATTGCTACAGAATGCCTGGTAAACAACCATGGTGTGTTTTTATGAGGTCTGCACAGTTTTCTATACAGTCCATTCCAAGGCTGTATAATGACAACCAATGAAACAAACAAGTTAGTTGCAGTTGATGGTTCTGAGATGATAGCCAGCCGGAAAGACATGAGCATGGAAGCACAAGAATCTCCATTGTTAGAAGCCATTACCTGGCAGTGCCTAGTGAAGACATAGACTTTATGCATGTCGTAGTTACAGTGATCTTCAGGGTGTGTAAATTGGCAAGACTGTTACAGCTATTTGTAGTTACAAGTTATAAGTGTTCAATAAATCCAATTGTTGATCAAAACACCATGTATAGTCAGTAACACATGACCCATTATGCAGAAAAATGTTACAGTCACTAAAAGCTAGAATCACAGTGCTTGTATAGAAGTCTGTATCAAGCAGGAAACCTTGCTGTTTGCGAAACAAAGGGACATAGCAACATTTGCCACATAGTCTGTCTGTAGTCTCCATACGGGTAACATCATATGCAGAACCCACTTCCTGAGAGTTTTTCTGAAGCTGGCAACAGTGCAATGTGGGCAGCAAATGACTTAGTGCAGTCCTTTTAAGTATCATGCCATGTCAGAACAGAATAAGGAGAAAACACTTCTAGGTATTTGCACTGCTAACTTTTGTTAACACTGTGGTTAAAGTAGGCTGACGTAGCAACTGTGGTGATGGAAGAGTGGGAGAAATGACGCAGTGGAAATGTTCATTTATCACATTCTGCTTTGTAGCAAATTTATTTCATGCAAATTACAAAATGATTTCTTTACATTATGCATGAGAAACAGAAAACTGATAATTAGCCATTGGTATGTATATTTGAAAATCTCTGTGAGCTGGGCTAAAATTCCCCCCACCCACCCACCAGATATAGACAGTGTATCCTGGTGAGGCTCAAGGAACATAAGTTTAGTTGTGAGTAAGCACTAATGGACAGCTGATAAGAGGTTGTCCATCACCATAATAAACTAAGATATTGTGACATGTCTAACCGTTGCTGGGCAACGGGAGGTGGAACGAGTTGCCATGAAGACAGACCCTTGATATATAGTCGGTTGCCAAGTTATACAACAGTGTTATAAGTATCTGTAGTTATGACTTGTAGGTTGTTAAATAAACAAATTAACAATCTGAACGGCGTCTTCAGTAGTAAATCACGTTACAATATTATGAAATGTCACAAAGGTCCCCTATGAGCACAGAAATGAACCATCATGTCCCAGGGAATATCCTGACCAGCTAAGTGACTACCAGCTTCTTGAGAAGGACCCTAGGAATAGATAAATGGTAAAGTTGTCCCTGTGCTTAACTAAGCACTACACCATGAAGGTGTATGAAGAAGTGGACATATAGATCCACATTTTTTGACCTCGGCAGTAGCTGGAGACGAGTGCTCAGCTTCACACCCTGGCCTCTTTACCCCCAGGAAAGAGCCCCCAGTACTCATTGTATAGGAGGTTGGGTAGGCACCAGAGCCAGTCTGGACAACTTGGAGAAGTGAAAATTCATGACCTTACTGGGACTCAAATTCCAACCTCTCGGTTGTCCAGCCCATAGCCAGTCACTATACCAACTGTGTTATCCCGGCTCCACTGGGAATAGATACATAAATCATTTAATCTGATCAGTTATATGTTTCATATTCTTAGACACTGTCCGCTGAATGATAAACATATACAACATTTCACAGACTCGCTTTGTCTGCATCTTCAGGCAGGAGATGGTAAGTACTATTTGGATGCCCAGAACTAGGTCTTGTACAATAAGTAGTATTTTATTAAATATAAAATATTCTCAGTGCATATCAGATATTTTAATATAAATTTATATGGACCTATGCAAAATGAGCAACACAAAAAATGTAAATTACATTCAGATTCCAGCCACTTGAATACTGACAAAGTTTGTCACATAAGATTGGCTTGGCATAATAATATGATAAGTAACACTTTCAGGAATGTAACGAGTGGAACTATTCTGTGAAACTTGCATTCAGAGAAATGACCCTTTGTAATGACATTACACCTGTAGCTGTCTTTTCGTTATCTTATGGCAGACACCCTATATAACTTCCCTGGCACATCTGTTGAATAATATAAAACTGAGGGTGGTGACAAGTTCTCTTCAGTTGCTTCTAAATTCATTGTTCCTGCAACAGATGAGAAAGTACAAGCTTTATTGTACCAAGCACTGCATGAGGAAAATGTTACACTTCAGCACAAAGGAACAGATATATTTTCTTCTGATCTCAAAAAGAAACCACATTCTTTTTTTTTTTTGTTATTCTTAGTTTATTTAGGTACACTTTCCACTGCTAAGATTATATACCATCTACACCTTTTTCTATCACTTTCTCCCTCCTTGATCAAAATATTATCTTCAGCATCTTGCTCTCAAATGCCCTCAGTCTATGCTGTGCCCTTAACATGCAAGACCCATTTTCATACCCATGAAGAACAATGGGTTAAATTACAATTTTTTTGTATATTTTAACTTTTACATTTTCAGTTTGGAGGCTGGAAGACAAAAAAATTCTTAAGTAAATTGTAGCAAACATTCCCTGAATTAATTTCCTCTTCATTTCTTCCCAGATTCAGTGATTTTGTTTACATCAATCTTTTAATCTATTTTAAAGTAAAAAAAAAAAAGGCCTAATGAATTACAGACTAATAACCATTCCCTGACTGTATTCTCTTAATTTTGTTTAAACCTAGTTCTTGTCTGCACTTTTGTTAAATTCTGATATACTGTATTTCTGAAAGATGAATTGTGTGAGTGGGAATAGTCACATTAATTCTTTCACTGTGAGTCCTGCTCAGTGGTGGGTCAGACCTGTCACACACTTCAGGGATGGTGATACATGGGTCTAGAACACAGTGGAATAATAAATTAGCAAGGGAAAGCCAAAGTACTGTGAGACTGAACCTACACTGACTTCTGCAAGGAGAAACCAGTGGCTATCATCTTACACGGTGACAGAAGAGTGGAACAGTACTTACTCAAAAGTTGGATGAATGCGTCCAGTGTTTCCTCATTACGAACTGTACAGGCCAAGAATAAAACACAGGACCTCTTATGCAGCAAATGGCTGAATGCTTGACTCAGCACAGGGAACAGACTCAAGTCATATACCAGATCTGAAATCCATCACATAAATATCTATACAACACATGCTGCAAAATACAAACTCAGATATTCAGTACACAGTCAAACCTTGATTTTACACTTTTTAAGGGACTGTCTAACACAAATGTAAACTCAAGGAAATTGGAATGATATAATGCAACAAAATTTGGTTTTCATTATACTGTAACTTTCGAAGATCTTTTAAAGAAGTAAGTTTGAACACTTGACTATGTACATTTAGATGCAATATGGTTCTTGGTTTATTTTATGATGCTTTGACATTTGCTGTTTTTATGTGGCATCAATAAGATATGATAGTGATTATAACCAATGAATGGAAATGAGGAAGAAAATGGCTGTTGTCTCTTTCAAGGTACTATCCCAGCACTTGCCTGGATAGACTGATGAATATGGTACATAGTGTCACGTATAAGATGTTAGCATGACGAATAATTGTGGGGTCTAGATTTTATGATTGGGTTTATTGGCACTTCTTTACAGTTATGGTTGATTATAACAGCTCACATGTTGAACTCCTTTTGAATGACGTCTGTCATGCGAATCTCTCACTAATCTCAGAGTGCTCTCTGATCTCTCTACTCAGTCAGTCAGAGTCAGACTTAGTTTAAGACTGGCAATTTACTGCCATTCAGTTTGTCTTGGCGCCAAGACCCTTGAGAGCGACAGACAGATTTTTTTTTCTTTTCAATTTAACACTTGCAGTCATAGTCCTTATATAACATCCTGTCTGACAAGATGATGGGTCTATCATTTACAATTGCTGCCGGCCTTGCCAGAACATTTCTTTCTCAGGTCCAAGTCCCGCAGGACTCATGACCACATTTTACTCTCAGATTCAAGACTCCCCCTGAAACAGGGTGACCCAGTTATACCCTCAGGCACTGGGTACTGTCATTGCTGATTGACTACCTCTCTCTACTCTTCCACATGGCCCACACAGAAGACACCACACTGAACAGTTAATTATCCTCTGTTGTCCTGTTGGTTGTCATGGGACACTTGTGTTTAGGAACTTGCTACCTGGTAATGACTCATTCGCTGCTATATGTTTTAACAGGAACATGATTTCTGAGCCGTTTATTAGCAACAGACGTCTGGCTCTGGCTCCACTATTCTGGCTTTCAGCCATCACGTCACAGTACCAGTTATACTGTTTCTTCAAGTATTCAATAAGAGTCTTCTGTTTCCTTTTTTCTTGAACAGTCAAGTTGTATAATTAATTTTCAACTTCACTGCACATTACAGCAATACTGTTCTTGGTATCAGAAATCTGTTGAATGTTTCGCTTATGAAAACATACTTGCTGTGTTGCAGTGGTCATTCTTTGGACACACTGCTGTCCTTGAGTTACAGCAAGATCAGAGCTGGCCTGACATATGAGCTGTTTGAACTACAGCAAGGGAAGAATACCCTCATCCACAGTAGGCCTTAGTGAAATCACATGGTGCATGCAAACCACTTGCAGCTGTGCATCACCCAGTTGATAGTATGTATATTTAGACATTTGCAGCTGCTGACAGGGAAGATCCATTCCCTCAAATAAATTTTGAGAATCGAACTACCTACCTACCTACCACTCAGCACTAGAGCCCTAGTGAGCCTTGGCCTCCTCTACAACCAGTCCCCACAACCAATGCTTGCTGCCAAAGGAATGGACCCACACATGACCTGAGGCTGGTTGTTAGGTTTCTGAATAAAATCCTTTTTACAGGATGAGGTTGTTAGCCTCATGTCCAACCCCCCAACCTGGAGGACCAGGGTATCTCTCTTAGTCTGGACTCTACTCTTTGACCTTTCCAGCATTAACTTGAATTAACTTGACTTGTCCTATATCATGTACAATGATCTACAGTGATGAAATCAATCAATCAATCAATCATGGGTGATGCTATTGGTAGTTAAACTACCACTGGCATAGCTCTCCAGGTCATAGAGTCACACAAGTCACAAGGGGGGAGAACTGAACTACAAAATGTAAATCATATATATTTTCATAGTCAGGACTAGAAAAATGAAGTGCAAACTCAGGGCAAATATCAAACTGAGGAAACAAAATCTGTTTAACATTATTGTTATCGGAATTTGGCTGGGACCATGCACAAAGTGCATAAATTTGCAAAAAAAAAAAAACAACGTAAAATCAACATTTGACTGTATTCTTTCATCAAGCACAAGGCCACAATCCATAGTGAACAAACCTGCAGCTAGGATAACCTCTGGTGACAGCCATGTCACAAAATCACTTGTAGGAATAATTTCCCATGGAAGATTTAACACCCCAATTTCAGCATTATTACACATTTTCCACAGCAATATTTGACTTCTGTCACACAGTTCAGTCCATTCATGGCCATCACATGCTAATGATACATTTTCATCACCACTACATGTGTGTGTCACAACTGAATTATCCTCATGACTGTCCCCAAGAACGTGTTTATTCTGGCCCGTCACATTCAGCATGATGTTGGACTGCAGCATGCTCAGTACTGCAGGGTGGCAGTCGGAGAACCAGTAGCTGGACGGTTTGCAGTGCAGACTGACACACAATCCTGTGAGACCAGTTCCAGATCCTAACTCCAGTATACGTCTATTCCGAAGCAACTCGCAATTACACAGGCACCAGTCTGCCAGAGTCAATGCAGCCTGTAACATTATAGAAAACCAAAAGCTGGACAATTTGTAGCATAGACATCAACACTACACAGCCAATTCTTAATCTTAACTCTTTGTATTAGTATTAGAGTTTAAGGCACTGCCCATGCCATACCTCAGATAATCAGAAAATGGCTTCCCTCTACAGAGATCAGAGTTCAACCCAGAAAAGCACTTTTAAAGACCTGTAGTCAATTCCCCAGCATTCCAGCCTCTCTTTGGAGGCATGTGTTCAGTTCAAGTGCAGCCCGGTTTCTCCCTATGGAAGACCATGTCAAATCCTAGCACAGTCCATCCTCTCACTGTGAAGGCCATTAGTTCAGTTTCTCAATCAAGTGGCCCAGTTCCAGTCCACGTGGGAGTTGTAGTTAATATACTTGCACTGATGCACACTTCCTTTCAGTTTTCTCCTACCAGTTTTGATTGATTTATTTCGTCACTGTAGATCATTGTACATGATATGGGACAAGTCAAGTTAATTCTGAATATTAACAATTTAATATATGAGTAAGATTAAAATTACAATAGTTACAATTGTTTACAGTTGATTACAATTTAGAATTAGTTAGATATTCTTATTTGTGGAGAATTTGATAATGTTCCACCATCTGAGATATGCAATAGAACTGAGCAGCTGGTATATTGTCACAGTTGACCTATGACCCAGCATTTTGCTGGATTCAGGATAAAGACTATGGTTAAGAAATTAACTGTTTAACTTATTGCTGCAAGATGGTTCACAGTACCTGCCAACTGCAAAGGCCTGTAGTTCCCTGTGATATGAGCTTGCTGCTCTCTCTGATGGTAATGGTGACACTGTGGTCAATCACAAAATGCCTGTAATGGCAGCTGGAGTCAATGGTGGGACCACTCAGAAGAGAGCAGTACACAATATATAATGCTTCTAAAACTTCTTGTCCATGACGTTCTAGCTGCAGTTACAAAAGACAAATAAACAAGATATGTGTCCATTTTTAGTTATACAACACATAATGTAATGAATACAATATCACTGTTAAATGCACATATGTCGATTCCAAATCTTTGTTATGCTACATGCTATGTTACAGACTAGAATATATTACTTCATTTCAAAACAGACATTTTTTAATAGATGCAAGGAGAATTACAGAATTTCTTCATAATTTTCAAGAACATATTTACAGAGGAGAACAATCAAAATATCTGTTAGATCTCTGCTATCCCAACAATTAAAGGAATTAATTAATTTAGATTTTAAAGGATATAAATATTTAATTGAATATAAATCAACAATGCTACAACTTATTATAACATACATAATTAAAGACAGTGCTCATTTTCAGCTGGTACATGCCAGAACACACTCTGGCAATTTTGTCAGAAATCACACATATACCAGTACAAGGTATGACCCAGCCTTAACGGCCAAAACTAAGCATGAGATACTAGAAAGCATGTTTTAGAGAATTAAAGTGTTTATTCTTAGCTTCTAAAACTACGATGGGCAGTTCTATTACATATTATAGCAAGTAAAATGCTGCCAGTATAAGTGAATCTGAAAAGTAGACTTGCACTCCAATTAACATATGGTTATAAACTACTTATGAATAAAATCTGCATGAATCCAAATATGTTATTATCTTTAAACTGACAATATCAAGAGCCTGAAAAATAATACTGTACAATAGTGACTAAGAAGAAATTACAAAAATACTTTAGTAATGATGTCTTTGAGGAATGCAAGTTGGTATGATAACTTCGGTGGGAATTTCTTCACTAGTGGATGATTCACTGTATTCTCCAGCAGCAACTTCTGCACCAACATGCTTCTGTTACTGCTACTGCTGTACAGTTCATGCAGCAAGTTGCTCTGCACACATGACACACAAAATAAATTTACATGTAATACCTACAACTCTGGAAAATGACAATGTTTGGATCTAACATTCAGTATAATAAGAGAGGAAGGCAGGCATCATACACTATGCACATACTAACTTAACCAGAATTACAGCAAACAATGTGAAAAGTGTGACAAATACTCAGAGCAAGAGCACTGAATATACAGAAGCATATTTCAAAGATATAGTGACCTATATACAGTGTAATCATCTAAAAGCTTGCCATAAATCACCAACTGTTTAGGCAAAAATGCAGACATTCCTTCCATCAAGCTGGTACATGGAGAATCAGACTTGTAGCAGAATCAAAAACCCACAGGCATACACATATTACAATTTTTCTTCAATTTTTAACCCATGAATGTAATGAAGCAAGCTTACACATTTTCTGCTGACACACGCATAACCCCCATGTTCATGTTGCTACTGCTACTGGAGCTGGGATAGTTCAGTCGGTACAGCAATAAGATATGGGCTGGATAGCCCAGATTCCATTCCCAGCAGTGAAAGATTTTTCTCTTCTCCACAGCATCCAGACTGACTCTGTGGCCCACCCAGCCTCCTATCCAATGGGTACCAGGAGCTTTCTCCATAGTGTTTAGGCGGCCATGGAGTGAAGTTGACATTCACCTTCATATACTGCTGAGGTCAAGAAAGGTGGAACTATACCTCCTCTCCCCCATTGTCTTCATGGCATAATGCTTAACTAATTAAACTCAGGGACAACTTTACTTTACTTGGCTTGCACAGCAAACAATCATTCACTCAGTTATGTTATTGCTTGTATCAAAATGCCACATGTGAATTACACATTGGAACACGTGTTCATGTATGGAACCTATGTGACAAGTACTTGCATATGCAGGGTAAGCAGAAGATTCCAACATAAATCTCAACATGTAACAGTTCAACATTAAAAAACTATCAACAAAATTGTAAATAAAAGGAACCAAATCAAAATTCTGAGTGCTCAGCTAACTGAAAGTGGCTAACTGGTGCTAGGCTTGAACATTCTAATCCAAAATCTGTCAGCCAGCCTGAACAGGTGACCCAGGCTTAGAAGTTTACTGTATTTCCAAATGCATCTGCTGTGATTTGGATGGGTTCTATTTGTGATTCATTGGCCTGCAGGCTTACTAATTTTGTTGGCAATCTTGAGTCTTGGCGGTCCTGCTAGACAAGAGTGTCAGCCTTTCCCACTTTGATGGCTCAGTGATTCGAAGCAGGCTGAGATGATCTTAATTACATTCTATAAGGACTGATGATGCCTAAATGCTGCAATAGATGATAAGAAATTTGCTCCCCCCTCCCCAAGTTAAATCCAGACCAACTTCCTCGGAACTTGTAGATTAATTTGTCTTTTGATTTTTCAAGTGTGTAAATGTAATATACAGCTGATTAATTTGTTGTATTTGTGTAAAGACAATGAAATTAATGGTAACTAGATCTAGATATTATTATTCAGATGACAAACCCACTATATTAGGGTGGTACAGTGTATACTGTAAAGTTATGCAGGAGAATTAGACATAAAACTGACAATTTCCTTATCCAAATGGTTGTAATACCTGTATGTATGGATTGTTGAATGATAAGAAATAATGATGATGATAATTAATAACATGAAATTTCCGGGCACTGTGACAGTACCTGTAATTTGTATAAAGATTCTTTAAAATTTTATTTACATTGGTGCAGAACATTTTTTGATAACTTCCAATTAATCTTTATGGTATACATCCTGTTGTGTTACATACGAAAGATATACGAGTAAAATGGCACAGTCTACACAATAATTCTGAAAGAGATGACACTACTGTGTCAACATCTGTTTTTATTAGAAAATAAAAATAAATATTGACAATGGCAGTGTCTATTTTGTCTCTTTCAGAATACTGTTGTGTAGAATTTTCTAATTAATTAATTAAGTGATTGACGATCTTGAGGTAAGATCGGCATAAATTCTAAATTATCCCAAAAAAATTTGAAACTGTGAAATGCGCGACCCAAATTTGTCTGTGATGTCCCACTAGACCTACATATTACAAGCACAATTTTCACATTAAAGTACCTATCATTGTAGTCGATACAAATTTTGACACGCAAACGGCAAAACCTATTGTACGCGGTTTCAATTTGGCGTGAGGTAGGAGGAGCCAGGGGCCCTTGCGTGATTTGGATTTTTGCCCTTTACTTTTCTTCAACTTCTGCGAGCATTCACTAGTCGACATACTTATTCAGTCTCATGGAAGTTCCAGAATAAGACAAAGAGACCCATAACATATAAGAACCAGCGTCAATCACCTGCCAATGTATTTTCTTGACACAAGTGGTGCTTAAAAATTGTTTCTTAATACAAATTACATTTCGTCTTAACAATTCACTTTCTTCTAATACCTCAACCATGCCGAAATACGACTAAATAACATTTGAACGGACAACAAATTACTACCCCTGCTAAATCCTAGCGTACATGAACAATATTATTCTCTAGTCGATAATAAAAAGAACAATAATAGAAATCGGACTTCAGGCACAGTTCGCACATAGCAGCACATACACATCTGTAACGACGGCCATGTGCGCCGTGTGGTAATTCTGTGCAACTGGCGACACGTAAGTGGGTCAATACCGAAAAATGGCGGTGATAGCTTTGTTGTACATTAGTCAATGTCAATTATTGCCAGGATTAGGGACATAAGTTTTGTTTTGTGGTGTTATTTTTTTACACTGCACAAATTCTGAGATCTGTGTGCACCAATGTCGGTGATCACTACGTCTGTATCTGGCCTTTCCTCAATTTTGAAGAGCCCAGGATTTCGAAAACGGAACACAGAACAACGTGTTCGCTTCAGGCTGCCCGAGAGCCTTAAAACTGTTTTGCTGGATTTCATCAACAGAAGGAACATAAAAGCTTATGAAGAATTGATTTATACAATTAGAGATGGAGATATCCAGGTAAGTATATGCAAATATGCATTGCCACGTATGAATTTCGAGTGGCGTGCTCACAGCAGCCGGTTAATATAAACTTGTCGGTAGTTCAAGTGAATATATTAGCACGTTAACAGCCCTGCCCGTTAATTTTATCCTTCGAAGGGCTGGATTGCTACTTAGACGTATAGGACCAGATTATTTCACAACTTAGTATAGGGAATGTGGAAGTGTTTCAGACTCGCCGCTGTAAAGTTTGTCACTTTGTTGTTGATGTGTTAGATTATACACCATGTCGTGAGGAAAATTTAAGAAACATGCTTCGTATTCCCTTCTGTTCCACCTCCCATGCCCTATGTTATCTCATTCCTCAGAATGTCCTTCACAACTGCTTAAAGTTATGATGTTGATTTGGATGGTAGTTCCTAATTACCTGTAATAAGTAACAAAATCTGACTGGCGTAAATCAAAAAGTCATATGTGTTATGTATGTGACTTCCCTCGTCACTACTAATAAGAAAAGAAAGAAAAGAACTGGCTGATAAGCTTTGTACTCTTGTTTGCCTTACACCAGTGATTCTCAACCTTTGTAAGACCGTGACTTGGTAATTTGTTTTTTGACAAGGGCTTCGTATAATTGATGCCAGGGCCCGGTACCAGGTCACGACCAGGCAGTTGAGAAACACTGCTTTACACCCTAATTTCTAGGATGTATGGGGTTCATTTATCTATCCCTTCATCTGTTACTCTAGACTGGATTACCCATCAACTTACTTACTCATGGACATGAGTTAAATAGTTTTGTGGTGGAGGTTTTTATTTTGAGATAGTTATGTGTGTAGGTTAAAATATTTTGAGTTAAAATTGAAACGTGTTTCTTGTCAAAAATTTTGTTCCTAATTATGTCATAGAATATTGCTATTATGGATTGTGCTTATGTATTATAACAGTGGTTCTCAACCTTTTTCAGACTGCGGTCCGGTAAATTCTTTTTTCTGTAAGATGAGGGCCTGGTACCGTGCCGTGGCCTTGCTGTTGAGAATCACTGTATTACAGTATGTGCATTATATCTTTGATGTGTTTAGTTACTGAAGCTGTTGTTTTGGCTGTTTGGATTGTGTCATGGAAGACTTTATGAATGTGGCATGTGAAGATGTAGATTGTTGATGGGTACTCGTATTATGACGTACTATGTGTGTATCGCTGCTTGCATGTTAATTATTGTGTTATTGTTTCCCTACTTTAGGAACACTGATGTGAGTAACTACCAAATTTCAGACAAGCAACTCACATTTTAATTTCAACCAAAAATAGTGTAACCTACTGATGAAACTAACTCAGAACAAAAAATGTTGACTGCAGAACTACATAATTATTAAAACATAGATTTTCAAATGTAAACATAGGCCAATGTATAGAAACAACAGCTGAGTGGAGAAAGTAATATAATATTTGTCTGATGATGGCCATTTGGGCAGAAACATGTAACAAAAATTAAAGATATATTGATTATTGATTGGATTAATGATGTACTGTTATGTGTCAGCAGAACTGCCATATCTAATATTCTTTTCTTAGCCTTGTATATACTTAAATTAATGTTTACCTATGTGAGACAAAACTGTATTCCATGTAGACTCATGTAATTAGTCAAATTAGTTTAATGAGTGTGTGGGAACTGCCCACAGTCAAGCAAGTGTGACAACGCAAACGTCATTGCTTAGCAACAACGAGTAAACAACGGTTGCTAGGCAAAAACAAGTAAACAGTGGTTGCTAGGGAACTTATAAACACGGTAACCAGCAATAGCAGCACCTATTACGTTACCGTGTTTATAAGTTCCCTAGCAACCGCTGTTTACTTGTTTTTGCCTAGCAACCGTTGTTTACTCGTTGTTGCTAAGCAATGACGTTTGCGTTGTCACACTTGCTTGACTGTGGGCAGTTCCCACACACTCATTAAACTAATTTGACTAATTACATGAGTCTACATGGAATACAGTTTTGTCTCACATAGGTAAACATTAATTTAAGTATATACAAGGCTAAGAAAAGAATATTAGATATGGCAGTTCTGCTGACACATAACAGTACATCATTAATCCAATCAATAATCAATATATCTTTAATTTTTGTTACATGTTTCTGCCCAAATGGCCATCATCAGACAAATATTATATTACTTTCTCCACTCAGCTGTTGTTTCTATACATTGGCCTATGTTTACATTTGAAAATCTATGTTTTAATAATTATGTAGTTCTGCAGTCGACATTTTTTGTTCTGAGTTAGTTTCATCAGTAGGTTACACTATTTTTGGTTGAAATTAAAATGTGAGTTGCTTGTCTGAAATTTGGTAGTTACTCACATCAGTGTTCCTAAAGTAGGGAAACAATAACACAATAATTAACATGCAAGCAGCGATACACACATAGNGTGTAATGAAGTAAGTGTGAATGTTGTTAGGAGGACAGGCTTCTGTGAGATAATGTCATGTTGTTCATTGAAAGTCAGCCAACATTTTGGAGGAACATATTGCCCTCATCCTCAGGGTCAGATAGGCCGAGCAAAATATCAGCATGAAAGCTTGTCACCTACTTTGATGCTGATATATTTCTCAGCTTATTCGACCCTGAAGATGGAGGTATATGTTCCTCCGAAACATCGGTTGACTTTCAAGAGACTACATGGTGTTATATCCCAGAAGATAGTACTCTTGCTGTGAGAACCTAGAATCTTGCAAGTGTAAATGTTACGTAGTACTTTTTCAATAATTTCTTCTACATGTGGAGGCAACCTTTATTCTCATTTCAGTTGCTTGATTGTAAAGATTTAAGCAGACTGCTGTAAATATCTGCATAATGAATTAAAAATTATTAGAACAAAATAAGCAGTTTCACTTGGGGCATTGTCCAGCTTCTCCCCCCCNTCCCCCCCCCCCCCCACATTTTAGGACAGCGAGTTGATGTGATTGCCTTTGGAGGTACAGGCAAGTATTTCTTTTATGAACAAGAAGTTTAGCCAATTTTTATGCTTTATTCCAGGGCAGTGATGTTTTGCAGTAAGTGGCAGTGTTCCAGGGATGTATTTCCCTTCTGAACAAGGAAGATGAGTCATTCTATGTTACATTGTAGAACAGTGACTTGTTGCAATTAGGAACAGAGTGTCAGGAGTGTATTTGTCTTGTTAACAAGAAGCTGATCCATTCGTTTCTTCTTTTTTTTTTTTTTTGTAGGACAGTAATTTGATGCAATTATTGACAGAAGTCCAGGAATGTATTTCTCTTATGGACAAGGAGCTGAAGCATTTTGTTGAAGCTCTGTTGGTGAGTGCTAAAAACTAAACACTGGTTCACTTCTGAATGTTTATGTTAGTTATGTGCATAGCGCTGTTGTCTCACATTTGGGAGGTGCATAGTTTTCTTCATTCATTAGCATTCTACACTTTGCAGTCTCTAGACTTTATAAGTAAAAAAAAATAAAGTTATTCCTGTAACGGGCCATATAGGCCCATAGGTTTGTGAGATGTTGAGGTTCTCCCATGCCACATTAGATGGTGGCAAGGTTGTCAGCTTTACGCGCTGGCCGCCCTTTACACCCAAGAATATTCCTGGTACTCATTTTTGTTAGAGGCCGTGTCAACCCCAGGGCCACAGTGCGGCTGGAAGGATTAGGTGAATTTAAAAAATCCAGTGACCTCAGGACTGGAACCTGCAACCTTCCGGCTTGTAGTGTAGTGCCTCAACCAACTATGCTACCGCATGCCCCCCTCTAGGCTTTATATACTTCCATAAGTCAGCCAGTTAAAAACAAGATCACTTGACATTTCCAGAGATTTCACTTTTACTTTATCCATTTTATAAAAGTTACAGTCTGGAATGATTTGTTTTCATTTTATTGAGTTAGTGTACTCTTCATAGACCCCCAGTCTGTGATTGCTGCATGGTCTGTCCGTTAGGTTGTTTGGCCCATTTCCGAAGTATCTCCTCAAAATTTTGCTTCCAGGAATCGTAATGGAAGTAAGTTTATGCGCACACATGCTTATGTTTGTGCATACACTTGTCCACATGTGTTTTCTCCCATCCTTCTAAGGAGGTTTGCAAACACCACTGGCCTTAAACGGAGTTCTCTAGGTATTTATTATGGAAGGCCCAGGAATTTAAAATTTTGCCATTTGGTTTCCTTGTAAATTGTTCTCTAAAACAGAGAAAATTCTGCTTTTTCGGGGCTGCATAGATGGGTAGCTAAGATATTGTTTAAGTCAGAGGCAGCAATGACTGCATGAAGTCCAGTGATCAGAATTTCAAGGAACCAACCAATTGCTGTCACAATTACATACTGCCTGTCTTAATGCTTAACAAAGGGGATATTGTAGTGCATGTATTACACCACCATCAGCTTTTGAAATTAAAAAAAAAAAAAGTGCAGGTAAGAACTAATCACCTGCTTTTCTTTCACTGAAATGTGAGAGTTTGATGTGATAAGCAGAAAGGAACTTGGTATGTATGTGTAATGAAGTCAGTAAAACAACAATTTTGGAGGCTGCAGTGTTTGTATTACTGTTGGGAATGATTTATGATGTACGCTGTTGAAATGGCCTTAGGTGGCATGATATACATACCAAGTCTGATGATTGGTGCAGGTGTGGGAGCCACCCACATTGAATCAAGTGCCAGCCAATCAGTACAGACCACAGCCGCTCCAATGCCCATTGACTCATGCACTGCAATGACAATGTTACCCTGGCACAATAGTCACAATCATAGCTAGGAAACATTCACTGCTAAACAACGGCTCAGTAATCGGGTATCTACAGAAACAGGCCGCAGTGTTGGTATTGCTGATGGGAGGGATTCGTGATGTACATCATTGAGATGGCTTCATGTGGCATGATATACATGCCAAGTTTCATGAAGCTGTGTATAGGTTAAGATTTTGGTTCAGAAATTTGTAGGGCTATAATATTGGTATTACTGATAGGAAGGATTTATGATTATGCTGTCAAGACAATCTCAGGTGCCTTGATATACATACCAAGTTTCATAAAGGTTGGTTCAATATGTGCACACAGGTGATCTCATAAGCCTACTTTAATTTTTTCAAAATAAGTAATTGCATACTTTGCTTACTTGATTTATTTACTCGCTTTCCAAGAAAGTAATGATTTAGTACCCTGCTTGTCAACACATTCTGACAGGTTGACAGCAATATGTTAGTAACAAACATATTGATAGTATGCCTGATGTAATAGCCTGTCAGAAACTCAGGTCTCTACAACACTTCTCTAAATCAGAAGATTAAAAGTTAATGGTCGTAATCATGTGTGCATTTCTCTGTTAGTAAATTAGGCTTTTAGTTCCACCCTTTTATGACTTCTTGCACTTATTCTTACACTGGAGATTTCACAGCTTCTACAAGAAGTTCCTGAAAGATGTTAAAGTTCTGTTATTTAAATAGCCCCATCTTCATGGAGAAGGCAGTGAGACGTAATTAAAGAATATTGGAAGTCACTGATGTACCTCTTTGCAGAGTTTGTGTTGAAGTAGCTTCCCAGTGTCTAAAATTGTGACACGTAACTTCAGAGATCTGTGTTGTTACCAGTTTCATAATTTGTAGTATGTAGTTGTTTGCATAAAATGTACAGATGTACATAGCATCACAGCTTATTTCAGCCATGCATATTCCTTTTGGGGGAGGAGACACAATTATGGCGCTGTCTTCAGTCTTTAAAACATAAGTAACTTTTGTTAAAACCTTTTTGTGTAGGATGTAAAATTACAGAGACAAAACCATGCGGAATCCATTTTTACTGTTCTGTTTGGAGATAATAACTGATGGACCTATTATAGGAACCAGATTTAATATGGCTGAAAAGCTAGCAACAGAAATGTGGATGCACCCAATCAGATACAGGAAGTACAAGTACAGTAGAACTTGGTTATAAGGTCATCAAAGGGACCTAAAAATAGTGTCGTTATAAACGAATGTCGTTGTAACCGAAATGGGCACTTCCACAGTAGCCTTATGTTAGTCACGTAAAAATCTACCAAAAACCGAGTAAAATGTTGCATTTGTAATATCAAAGACATATTACAGCGCTTTTCACTGACAATACACACCGCACTAATACTGTATATTAAAGGTAGGCCTACTCACCAAATTACAGTAGATTACATCAATTGTTGTGCCTTACTGTACCTAGATACGAGTACAGTAATCAGTTATCTTCATCTGTTTCCTGTTACTTGCCCAATATACACTTTCTAAATTACGTTCAATGTCCATATCAGAGAAATTCAGGAATGAAAATGACGTTACATACGAGGTTGATGCATTTGTGCATGTCGTACTAAGCAAGGTATAAAAACAGTTGCTTTATGAGGAATTAGTTCGTACCATTGAATATTTGACGCAATAGACAAGGTGTCGCAGAAACCGATGTTGCTATAACCAAGTTTTACTGTATATCGTTCTTATTATTGTGGTTTGTTTCAGATGTTGGACTGGGTGCACCGAAACAGCGAGATTGTGAAGAAATTTCAGGAGTTCCTACTGAACCTGCTGTCAGCCCATAATTATTATACAAAGAGTGCCCTTGAGAAGTTAATGCCAATTTTCAAATCAGGTGTGCTTTTCTTTTTGTACAGTCAAATTGCAATCATGCTGGAACTGTCAGCAGTAGTCTCTGTGTCATCGTTTCATCATTTTCATGAAATGCACTTATTTAAAAGAACTTCTTGAAAACTTTATGTATGTATATATCCCCAGTATTGGTTATTGTGATCTCATTTGGATTATGTTAAGTAGATGCCAAGGTAGCACAGTCAGTATAGTGACTGGCTACAGGCTGGACGACTGAGGGGTCAGAGTGCGAGTCCATGTAGGGTCAGAATTTTCTCTTCTCCATATCATCCAGACTGACTCTTGGGCCCACCGAGCCTCTTATCCAATGGTTACCATGAGCAGTTTCTCTGGGAGTATAGTTGCAGGGATATGAAGTTGAACACTCACCTCCAGCTAGTGCCAAGGTCAAGAAAATGTGGATCTATACATCCATCCCCCATATGCCTTCATAGCATAGTGCTTAATTAGTTAAGCGCAGGAACAACTTTACCTCAAATCTCTTAGTACTGTGTAACCGGCATGAGGCTATGTTCAAATCACTTATAATGGCTCACTGACATTTGTTTCAGAGGGTAGTAAAAGTAATCTCTTTCTTCTCTAGTAATTTGCAAGTTTTAAAAATTTATTTAATAACAGGTGTTGCATGATGAATTTTATTCCAGAATTTTTGTAAGTCTCTGAGCTGATATAGCTCAGTTAGTAAAGAGACTGCCCTCGACCTGGTTCATATTTAATTTCTTTGGCTCAGGCATTGATGCTTCTCTCTTGTATATAGGAGGTGTGTGCTTTGAATCTCATCCTGAACACTATCGTGACAGTGCCCCCTCCCCCAGTTTTGCTCAACCCCTCCAGGCACATGCTGCTATAGTACCTCAATTAGGCTGCAGCTGCTTCCTTCTTCATCCTTTTCTGGTCTATTATTTACCAGTCGCTCTTGCCATCTGATGCTATATAGTTTGCACTGCTTACAGTGTTGCTAAATAAACCACAGCAACATATCACATTCAAACTTGCTCTGGGCCCACTTAACCCATACCCTGTGAGTACCAAGGTCTCTTTTTCCAGGAATAAAACAGTCGAAATGTGAAACTGATTACACAGCTTCATCGCTCTCATAGAATATAGTGTAGGCACAGTAAGTCAGTTTACGAGTATATCAGTGTGTAGCTGACATCAGCATTTTCCTTTCAGTTGGTTTTGAAGAGGAGTGGACAAATGGAGTTTCTACAAAGAAAGAGGTGTTTGTGTTTGATCATGCCCATGCTGTCTTGAGGGTTTTGCTGCAAGTGATGCCAATGTAAGTAGCTTCTTCAAGGAATTAAAATCTTGGCAGAACTCAAATTTTTGTGTAAAGCATGATGTGCTTCAGGTCTTCGTTATGTGTAAAACTGTAACAAATGAAGGTACAATAAAACTTCTTGAATTGAAATGCAGATCTTAAATGAAGTAGGTGGGAGAATGTGAACTGAATTCAAGTGGCTATGTCTTATGAACGTGGTACATAACCTTTGGGTTCCATAAAAGGCAGTCAACTGCATATTCAAGGATCTGGATTGTTGTGTTATATATAGTCCCCTCTCAGTAATACGATCTCAGTGAAAGCATTCTAGTAAGCAACACTGTGGAAAATGAAAAGAAGGTGGAGCCCTCATTTTCATGTGTGTACTACTGAATTTTCTTCTTGTATCTTCTGCTTCATTTTTAAAGCATTTGATGCGACTAGCGCATTATTGTTATGTTTCCACAGGGCTTGTGATGTCTTGGTACAGGTTGTGGTGAAACATTTCCCATATCTCCGTCGTTCCAGCCATGAACATGAATGCTTCATTTACAACATGCTCAAGATAACTGAGTACCAGCCCAAGTTGAGGTTAGAATTTCTTCTCATCATCTTCAAGAGGTATATAAATTTAAGTTTTTAGCTGTCGGTCAATGTGGATTAAATGTAGATTCAATTTCTAAGACATTCAGAAAGTAATTCCCACCATATTTTAACAGAAAACTATGAAAATGGCTACACTTGTACGTTTGACTTTCAACAGATGCTGGCAGATAGCAAAAATAGTCAGTATACAAAATGGTGCCACATAAGACTTTGTTTTAGTTGCCTCAGCACTTCATCTCCAGTTTCTTTACTGGGGATTATGCTTCTTTCCATTAGTGCCAGAGAGGTGTGAAGTTCCTCCACTGTGGTGACCTCAATGGTTGCAGCTGTGGTTGCATAATGAGATCTCTCCAACAGCATTAGTCTTGTAGTGCGACAGGTTTCTTTCTCGGGAGTTTTGAAATTTAGCATATGAAATTTTTGTTCCATGACTGAGACTAAGCTTAGAGCAATGGTAGCCTGTCCCAGAGTGTAGGACTTAACACTGAGAATGGATGATAATTAAGACACTTAAAATTTTATGTGGTATTTATTTGGTGAATAACATAGGCAGGATATCATCAGTGATGTTATTCCTTTATTATGGTAGGCATGGTACATGTATATTCTGGTTTACTTTTCATTGTGATCTTATTCACATTATTACACTTTTCATAATTTAGTTTTTTATTATTAAACTTGCAGAGAAAAATAATGTAGAAGTCTTTCACAAAATGTATATTAGATGTGACATTAGTGATCTGGAGATTTCATTGTACAATTTTGATTGCTATTTGAAAGTTTAAGTGCATACTTTTGTGGTATCAGTAGTCTCCTTGTTGATACACCACTGACTTGACTGCTCAAGTAAGCCCTGCCAACTGACTAAGTCTTTCAAAGCCTATTAATCTGGCTTATATTAAATAAATGACCTCCATTAAGGTTCCAAAGAGGTTGGTAAGAATCTGTCTAGCTATCATAGAACTCGTGTCCAGGGCTAACATGAAGCTCCAATACATTATTCATTATCATACAAGGATTAGTTGGTTGTTTACGATGATGGTACACTATCCAAAATGTCCATTAGGTTTGTCTGTGGGCAGCAGTCTTTTGTATATGCAGAATGGCAAGGTTCAGTTTCTGAGTTGTAAGAGTAGATCTGGGTTAGTGTCTTAACGCATTGCTCACTGATGTCATCTCTGAGACATCGCCAGCTTCCATGTCCAAACAGCCATCTACATCTCCAAGACATTCTGAGTTTGTGCCAAGATTGTACTAGTATGTAAGATTTGAGGCTTTCACGGCAGTGACTATGAAGAAAGCAGTCTTCTGGGATTTGGCACCGTGTATAAGTGGTGTTAACCGACGTTTCGGAGGAACGTATCACCTCCATCTTCAGGGTAGAAGAAAAAGTATAAGAAATCTGCAAGCGACAAGACCGTGAGAACGGTAAAAGCAGACTGGAAAAAAAAACCACAGCTGTGTGTGAGCAGAGAGGGAAGGGGGGAAGGGCAAGTATACAAGTGAAAGCAGTGGTGTGGGAGGGGTAGGGGAAGGGAGCTGGGGCAAGCGTGGTTTTGTGTACGGGAGAGAAAGCAAGGTTAAAGGCTGGGCTCTAACCGTAAGCTGAGGGGGGGGGGGTTGTTATGTTGGTTGGTCATGGCCTTGTGGCCTTCTGGATCTGGCGTCATATCC